AATGAATAAAAATTGTATAATAAATAAAATAGAAATAAAATTAAATATATTTTTTTAAGAACACGTTCCGGACGATCTAAAATGCGGAACGGAAATGGAACACAAAAATTTATTTGTTCCGGGTTCCTGGTTAACCTTAAATTCACAGTTAGCGCGAATCCGCAGCGATTTTGGCCTCGAATTCGCGCTAACTTTGAAATCGGGGAAAGCAAAAATTCCTAAAAAAAATAGTAAAAAAAATTAATATACTTTGGAAATAATAGTTCGTTTCGTTTAAGTATTCTATATGAAATATAAAACAAATTTTTGCAACAAATTCCTATACAATAAAATTGAACAAGCTTACCTCGTATAATTCTTTCAACATGCTCTATTTTTAATAATTTATATAACAATCATTTAAAAAATATTGGCTTTAAAAGAAAAATATTATTTAAACTTTTTTTAAATGATAATTACAAGTAAATTTTAGCGCTAATGTTAATCATACGTTACAGATTTGGATAAAAATGGGCATTTGATGATCCAAGCTCGTCCGTGGACCAGTGGCAAAAAATTTTTTAAACTTAAACCGGACCCAGTCCTGTCGAATCTTTAAAAAAATATATAGGAAGAAATTTCAAACTCAAAATATTTATTTTATTTTCTATTTCAATGTTGGATATCATTTTGACACAGTAAAATAATCGAAATTTACAGTTTTATAATAATTGCTATCCCCGTTTTAAAATCAAGTTGTTCAGATTAATTCATCTTTTGATAGTTTCAAATTAAAAATCATTTTTGAGTTTTTGTTAAATTTTATCAAATGTAGTGGGTTTTGTCTAATATAAATACTAACCCTAATCTTTGTCTTAATCTCTAACGGTCCAATGGTTGGGTATTAGGCTTTAGCCTGAACCACATAGTTTGGTAAAAACTAATAGGAACTTATTAGCTGCTTCGCTATCTGTTATATACCGAATGTAGTTGGTTAGGTGTCTAATAAAATTAGTAAACCCACGATTATAATATTAAAACTGTGAAAATAATCATAAAATTGAGCATTTATTTAAAAAACTGTGAAAATATTTATTAAACTATGAGTATAATTATAAAACTGAGCATTAATTTAAAAAACTAAATTTGAATATTCAGCTATAACTTCTAATTTTATGATGGTCCACTATACATGTTCTATTTATTATTAATAAAATATTAATAGTAGATATTTCCCATTTCTTGATTTTTTTGAAAAAACTTTTCTTATTTTTTTTTATAATTGCGATATTCATTCAGGCAAAAAAAAATATCAGGAATGAAATATATCATTAATTTTTCGGTCTATGGGCCAGTCCTATTCTATTGTCAATGTTAACAGCCTGGCACGAGCTAGGCAAGACGGCCTTGCAGAACTTAATTACAATTATCAACTTTTAAATTAAATAAACCTTTTGTCGTGTTTATACGGTCCCCAAACAAATCTAGAACGAGAAATTATATCGATTATAATATATAACAAAATTTCAATGCATCTATAATAGCGGACGTGCAATCAGACATATGATGCAATAATACTCATGTCACATCAAACGTGTCTTTCACGATACAAGCTTTCCCTTTTTACAGATGAAATTCGATATCTGGCAGGGAACTTTTCCTGCGTTGACCCACCATCAACAAGGGTTATAAAATAACAGGATTTTATAACAAATAAATATGAGGATATGTTTGACACATATCAGTTCATTATTTTCGACACAACAATGTTAGCATCCTTATGAAGCCAGGTGTTTAGTCTAATCAAAAAAAAACTTGGAAATCCTAAACAATTAACATATCTACGTCAGCACAGTGGAATTTATAAAATATGATTTCATTTGCTTTGTGAGTTCATTTTCTGATTAGAATGGCAAGAGAATTAGAAACCTATTATTCCCTTAATTTCTTTCTCATTTGATCATATATTCTTAATTATTTCTTTTGATTTAAATATATTCTTTTCTTTCTTTTTCACTATTGTTCTCGCCTTTGTTACATTTAATATTGATTTTTTTTACATATTAATTTTACGGTGTGATTGTTAACTATCGTGTGCATTGTTGTAAATAGGAATATTGTTTTTATACGAGATTTTATATATTATCCATTATATTTACCCATAAATTTATTGTGCCAAATTAATGTGAAAATTATCAAAATATACCTTCTTTTATGCATGTGATATAAACTAAAAAAAATATACATAAGTTAAAATTTGTGTTTAATATATCAGAATATAAATTAAAGATAGTTTACTCGGGTCATCTTCATGGGTACAATACATCACCTTTTCAACTAAGATAAATGTTTTATGATTTTAAAAAAGAGAAAAATATTATTAAACATAAAACGATAATGTTTTTAAAATCAATTGTTATAAACGATATTTTCTATAAAATTAATCTATAAAAGGCATTCCCTATAAACGGCCATCTCATTAATTGTTTTCTCTATAGAGTTAATATAAAAAAAATTTACTCTTAAATTTTAAAACTAATTACATAATATATTTATTCCTATAGTTTTAATCTTTAAAAATGAATAAATATAGCATAAAACGGATAAGAAAATAAGGAAGAAAGTGTAGTTTTGAAATGCTCCTTGGAAAAAGAAGCTAATGTTTACCTTGAGGGTAGATATGGTTAGCCTCTGTTGTAAAAAGAGCCTATTCGAGACTCACAGAGCTTGAAGATGTGAAATCCCAAATATTGAAGAAAGGATAAAGCAAGTTTTACTTAAAGGTGTTAATATAGTGAAAATATTTGGAAATGAAAACGTAATCTACTAAAATTTCGTAATATTTGACAATTTTAACTTGTTCGTCGAGTAAGTTTATTATTTGGTTAAAATGGGGCGCCAAGGGATCTAAGCAGCAATTGTTCCAAATATGAAATTGGGCCCCTTTCCATGGGATCAAGGAGATTCTATCAGATCGCTTTCCACCGTATCTAAAATTTCAGTTGATTCAAGTATAACGGGTATTTGGGGGTGATATTAAGACGCCTTGGATAAGGAAATTGTATTAATAGTACCTGAGTATTTCGAACTCAACAAGATAGACCATATAAACTCTGATTTTCCTTTGCTGTATAGGAGTTCTAGTGTCAGAACAGATGTGAGAAAAGATAAACTTTTCATCTTATTTTTAAAATATGAGACTCGATTACTCTGGAAGTAGCTCTTACACTATTATAATTTAGTAACGGTAGCATAAAAAAGTAATCAAACAGACATGTATCATTTTGGGGCAAATCCAAATGTGATACCAAAATAAGATAGATTGGTGACGATGACATTGAAAACGATTGCAATAGGTGATTTTTTTATTCACAAGCTAAGATTGAGCGGTTATTTAATAAGGTAATACTAATTGCGTTTTTACACTTGGAGATAGAAAAAAGATTCGTCGATACCATAAGAATTAAACATTTTTGGGAAGCATTCAATTTTTCAATTTTTTTAAAAAAATATAATTTATTTAACAATTTTTACTATTCTTTCACGAGGATTTTATAGAAATTGAAAATCAAGGGTGTTTTATCAATTTAATAGAATAATGAAGGCAAATTTATGTCTTAGATAACAATATAAACATGTATTATGAAATCGCACATTTAACTTAATTCATATTTTCCATGGGGAAAGAAGATTCATCCTCTACCCCAACCCCTGTCCTTTTTAAATCTTCCTCTATTAAATACATTGTATATAATCGTTTCTCCTTAAAAATATGGAACTCAAATTTCTCATTGTTAAAATTTTATTATAAAAAACTATTACTTGATTGGTAATTTATAGCTAATAAAAAAATGTAATTACATTTTCGAAATAAAATTTATAATCATTATAATATTATTAATTACTTCCACTACATCCAAATAAAACGATAGCTGATAACACAATGATCAAAGTTTTTATCATTTTTAAAATTATTCTAAAAAAAATTATTTAAAGTTTCTTAAAGAATATTTAATAAAAATGATGTATATATTTTTTTTTTTTAAAAAATAGATTATTATTGATATTATATTTACTAATAAAAAAATTAATTTAATTTAATAAAAATCAACCAAATTTGTAATTTTACATTAAATTTATAAGATAATTTTCCTTACATAAGTGTGTTTATACATTTCAAATTTTAAGACATAGGTTAAGAGTTCGTATATTTGATAATATTATTTGTTATGAAGTAGAAGTGGTGTTTCGAGTCATATATTATTACATACTTACTCCATTGTGAACCACAGTAGATAATATTATATTTACTAATATAAAATAATTTTTAATTTGAAAAATCAACCAATAATTTGTAATTTTTCTAATATATAAGATAATTTTACCAGCCTTGGCATAAGTGTGTTTATAAATTTCAAATTTTAAGACATAAAGGTTAAGAATTTGATAATAATATTTTTATTATGAAGTAGAAGAGGTGTTTTGGGTCATATATATTTACGTACTCGATACATGGGTCAGCAGTTCTAGATAAATGCGTAGTGAGTGTATATAATCATTGAATCTCAACAAATTTTTTACCAGGGAGGATAAGTAAATCTTTTAAAATTTGTGATTACGTGAGTCGCGAAAATTTTTCTAGTAAAATTTAACAAATATTTGTAAATCGCATTCGAATGGGCGGGTTTTTAACCTAAACGCCAGCCGCCCCAAACCCTGAATTCTTTAGCCTTCCAGCCGGGCCCCCTTATAATTTTGATAAGGTATATTTGTTTAAGATATTTCGTTTCTAAAAATTTTAACTAAGCCAATATTTTTTGCTGTTAGTGCCTATGGATGATTTGACCGAAAATAATTTTAGAATTAATAATTAATATAATTAGAGATTTTAAATTAAAACAAATATGTATTTAAATAACATTCTCTTTTACTCTTCTTAAATTGTTTTAAAAATGTTTAGCACAAAGATCAAGGTGGGAATAATTTACATTTATTAATCATTATTATGATTTCCATAAATATAATACAATGTAGATAAAGATCATTATTACCAACAATCATCGCTATATAGTATAAGTTTTTACATAATTTTTAAAATAATATAAATAATAAGAGGGGGGGGGGGAAGAATGATTCAACCCTTGTGAAGTTTCTTATTGACCATCGTTTTAAACTGAGACAAAATTTTGAATTCGCGTTTCTGTCTTTCCTCGCGGCTAAAACTGGCCAAGGCCCGCTTCTCGTCGGCACTGTAAATTTGATTTTCTTTACGCAAACGAACCGCTTCCATTCTCCGATGCCTATAGGAGGAGTAATTTAAGGTGAAAATTTTCGTTAAATAATCGAGTCGCCAAATTGCGTAATGAACCGATAGAATTTCAAAATTAAATTAAATCGAAATGCAACGTAACTTTTATAAAAGGTAATCAAAACTAGTTATACAAAATAAAGTTTATCAGGCCAGGGTGTCGAACCGAACCAAAATAAGGCTTTATCTTATTCTAAATTGTAACCGAACTGTTACAAGAAAATATTGAAACGGTTTAAACCGGGTAATAATGGTTTTTAAATAATTGGCATATTTTGAAATATTTTTGAAAAGCATTAGTATACAAATTTTTAGGGTTGTACCCATATTGGACTTTTAGAAAATATATAGGATCGTCCAATATTTTTTAAAAATTTAACCGACATCGATTTTATACCTATTTTTAAAAAAAATTTATACACATTTTTTTATTCATATTTTTGAACTAATTTTCCTTTCTCGTAATAAATCTTTTTAAGTATAAAACGTGCGAATGCTTACATTTTTAACGATATAAGAAGTCAAGTATTATTAATAAGCTAATGTAAAAGAAGATTACACAAAATTTTGGGGTATTTTTATTTGTCTATCGTTTATTCCATTATGTTTTTTTTTCTTAAGAAAGAACTTATAGTAAATCACAATCGAGTTTAAATTATTAGCTTTAGCATAACTTTTTTTATTGAGATAAAATATTATTTTATTTTAAAAATTTCAATCTTTTTCTATTTATGTCAGAAATCTGAATTTAAATTTATTCTCATATCTTTATAAAGAAAAATATCCATAATTTTAATTATTCTATATTTAATTATTACATCATTTTATTAATTGATATTAATATTTAATTTGTTAGTACTTTTTATTTAAATAAAGATGTTATACAGAAATCTGATATGAATATATATATATATATATCTAGTTTGCTAGCATATAAATTTATACTTATTTGCATTAAGAAGGCTAAAATAGATAAAAGAAAATTCTGATCATCATTAAAAAAAATGAAACTATATAAATGAAACTATATATATAATCATTCTCTAAGGGCCATTCCTTAATTAAAATAAAACATTATTTATATATATATATCTTATAAATACAAACCTTGATGTACTAATTTAAAGATAAGATATATTTTTAACATTTTAAAGCATTAAGACTTCTTTTTTTGATTTTTAAGATCCGGAATTTTTCTAAAAAATTTATGCACAAATTTTATTTTTCCATTATATGATATTATATAAAATAATGACAAAAAAACAATATCGGTATAGGATCGATATCGGTAATTTATAATATATATCGAATCGGGTAGGTGAAAAAATTTTGGAGCAGTGCAGCCCTACAAATTTTTACATTAGCGTTGTTATTTTTTTTATGAATGTTTTAATAAAATGAAGAAAATTCAATCCCTCAATTAATTTTTCAAAAGTTTTTTAAAAAAGAATTTTTAAAGTTATGAAGTTTTTTGAATAAAAATAATTTTTTATTTTATGAATTGAATATTAAAATTATTGTTAACGAACTTGAATGTACTGAGAATATTATTGTTAATTTTAATTTTTCATATAAAATTTTTTTGAATATTAATTTTTCTTTTGTGAATATTTAATCTGTTAACATATATAAACCCCGAATATGTAAATGGATTTTCATTCATTTTTTTTTCTTATTTAATAAATTTGGAACTACATAGTTTGGATTACTAAAATTGTATTACTAAAGTATTAATTTATATTTAAGACATTAATATTTATCTTTCTATTCATACTAAAAACATCGAAATTTAACACAATTTTATTTTATTCGATTATTGAGTATATTTATTAAAAAAAAACATGAACCGATTTATAAGCTATAATGAATCGGTCATTTGAAAGTAATAGAATTGAAACTAGATTGTTTTATAATTTCAAACTAGGAGCCAGAATAGAACTGAACTGTTATAAATATTTGGTTGACACCCAGGCTATGACTATTAGGAGTGGCATTTGACGACAGTCCTCTGAAAATATATGGCACTCTTTAATTTTTGCAAATTTATGATGCATTCCGTGCACTAATATGAAATTAAATAATCAATCTTTATTTATATATAAATTAGTCATTCCCATTTAGAGCATTTTATTTATCCAATTCCTTAATTATTATTATAAAATTGATAAGATATTCATATTAATACGAACTTATTTTGTATTCCAAAATAAAACTAAATATTTTTTTATTTTGAATATTTATTCAAAAACTTAAAATTTTTGATTTTGTGTTTCAATTATCTTTTTAGTTATGTTTTATAGCCCTGCCATAATAATAAAAAACATGGATAAAAGAATTATATTGATTGACAGGTGTGCTTGGATTAAATTGATCAATAATTATTTTATAATGCAAAAATCTGGAGATCTCGATTTAATATAAATGGCACATAAATTTTTTTTTTAAATAAACTAACCTGCTCCCACTCATAACGTAACCCGTATCCTCAAATGACTCTATCTCCTCACTGGTTAGGCCTATCTCGCCTCTCCGAGGAATCCGTTTGCCTTCTGCCACAAAAGCCGCCATAGCCATACCTTCACCAGGCAGTAAGGCCCCTCCGTAATTCTTTGGGTCAATACCTGTGCCATGTCCTGTGCCTTTATTGATAATAAATTGTTAAGATTTATAGTGTGTTCTTTTATTTGATTATAATCGTTTGTTTCTAATCTTTATAATTTTTCTTTTTCTTATTGAATTTCTATTATTATTTCATTTATATAATATTTTCCTTTTGTTTATTTATTTAGATTTTAAAAATTATTTTTGTTTTAATTTTAAAATTTTGAACCTAAGCCTCCGAGAGATAATTGGGTAGGACCGATTTCACTCTCACTATCTGAAGAAGGTTCAGCCTGAGTAGACGATTTGTGGTGATACGAAGATTTTTTAAGATGATTATTGGTTAATGTTGACGATTTAGATTTGAATTTATGGATAGATGCTTCCACGTTTTCTATTTTATTTTTTTGATAAAGTGATATCATTAATATATTTGTAAAAAATTATTATATATTATTCATATACTCTTTTTTTTAAAAAAAATTATCCAAAAAGCCTTACAGATAAAAATTTAAAACATGTGATACATGATAAAGAATTAAACCTTTAATGATATTTAAACTCTTGGATCAGTCAAAATATGACGTCATAATCAGCTGATGACACTACATGGATTTGGACACCAATACATTAAGACTGATAACCAAGACAATTTGTAAATCGTAAAAAAATTCAACAAATAAATTAATAACCGATATAACAGTTTTAATATTTAGGACCAACTTTCATATCATTTATTTGTTTTCAATGAATGCTTTCAGGGCAGCAAATGATTTATTTCACTAAACACATCATCTCGCAAAAGAGAATTTATATTAAAAAATAATAATAAAAATGAAATTAATCAATTTAATAACTAAAAATCCAAAAAAAGTTATTTTAATATAAACACGAATTTATCTAAATAATTTTCTCAATGAATTGCAAGTTTCTTCTAAAGAACATTTTTAAAAATTTTTTGAATATATTAAATTTTTTTAATTTGCAAATAATTGAAATTCCAATATAAAATTATTCTATTTGAATATCTGGTTTAACAGGTATTATTTTTGCTTCCAACATAAATTCCAAATTTTCTAATTAATCATCAATATAGTATTGATGTCATCAACTGGATTTAAAATAATATTTGAATAATCTCCACATTTAGAATCATAATTTCCATTTTCATTATTAATTTTTTAAATAAATTATTGTATTTTAAATTATTCTTTTAGGTTTTCCCATATTTTCCATTTTAACTCTAACTTTATTTTTTCTTTCTCGTCGCTAATAATAAAGTTGAGAAACTATATAAGTAAACTAATTTTTATAAGTAATAATATTAATTCATTTATATGTTTTTTAAAATTATATAATAATATATTACACTCTGAAAATTATATATCTTAAAATGTTCACAAATTTGGGGGAAAATATTAGGTCCAAATAGTTCAAATAAAAGGCAAGTCAGATTATATTTTAATTAAAATTTTATTATTTAAAAAGAATTAAATACATGGTATTTATATGATTTTAAAAAAATTGTGGAAGGATGACTTTAAAGTTAAAATAAAAAAATATTTTGCAAATAATGATATATCAAGAGATATACTCAACTGATTATTTATAAGTGTATGACCAGTAAAAAGTGTCCATCATGCATGTATTGCATAGAAATTGTGGGAGGTGGCTATAAAAATTTAAAAAATAATTGGTAGAGGACAAGACCCTTTAGCCCACAATAATACATCCCTGGTGTCTATTTAAATGAAGAAAATAATATAACCAAAATTAGGCCATATTTTATATCGGTTGAGATCTGATATTCAAGCAAAAACTATATATATTTTCTTATAATGTGGAAAATCTTGAAGATAACATTGTTAATGTTTCAAAAGGTATTACTTAAAATTCAAATCTCACCCATTATGCAAGAAACATAACTAAAATTTAAAACATACTTTTTCTTTCTACCCATTCAATTTTCTCAGACTTTAAAGGGTCTGATAAATTAATTTTAGGTTGATTTTCAGTATATGTGTAATGTCCATTATGATGTTCATCATCTCTTGAAGTTTTGTGTTTCTTATGCTTCGATATATGTTTGTCTAATGATTAAAAATTTTTTTAAACATAATTAATAAAATCAAATGGTATAAAAATTTATAAAATAAGGTTTTAGGAGATTTAACTAGCTGTCATATAGATAATATATTATCTAAACTGTATTCAATGCACTAAACATTTATTTTAATGATTAAAAAACAAAGATGTGAATATATTAAAAAATCACCTTTAAGCACTTCTACAGAATTTGATAAATATTTTGTATTTTCATAGTTTTCGTCATCTGAACTAATAAGAACTATAAAAATTGTCTAAATAAAGTTATAAATACTCTATAACATATTTAGGTGAGGATCTCCATGCCCTTTGACATCCTATTTTTCCAATATCAATTCTTTGTTCTAAGCGTCTTTAATTATTATATATATATAGATGATAATTACATATCATTTATTTTGATACCTTAAATTATGTTGTTCGATGCCTTTTGATGAGTTCGGATTGGGATTCCTTGTTAAAAACGCCATATGTTTAAATGCCACTTAAATGTTAGGTACTATTTAATAAAATTATTTATAAAGAGGAATAAAATCCTATATAATATATTGGATAAGGATAAGGATAACAATATATTACTTGAATATTTTATATAAGATTTTGATTCAAGCTTATATTATCTATTAAAGATATAAAACAAAATATTTAAACATTTTAAGATAAACCCTTTATTTATTCTGTACACTCTGGCCATTATTTATTCAAAGACTATTTATATAATAGAAGAAAATTTCACATATTCAATTTTTTTTAGTTCTTCTCGCCATGAGCAGGGTCAACCATAGCACCATACAAATTTAACATTCATTCATTAAATTAACATTTTTAAATTCAAAAATGTGGATCTCAAATAATAAACTTGCACAATGGGAATATCAATCTACTACAAAAGGTATTTCATTTTAAGAATATTAAAATAAATTTAAAGGAAGATGTAAAAAAGGATAAAATTCTAAAAATTAGATTGCTGCATGCAATAGATTCTTCAATTATGTGTAAAATTTATAATCAAGCTGCAAGTTTTTCTTATATTCCTATATTTTTTAACTATAATATTATTAAGATATTTTTTATAATTTGCAAAAAATTAATCATTTGGAAAACAAAATAAATACCAATATGTAATAATTACACATATTTTAATTTATTTACAATTATGTTTAGTTTGGTGACTCATAGTCTTAAATATAGAGCTATAATTAAATCTGCAATTTTAGAATTACAAGAATCAGGTTTTTACTTTATTTATATTCATAAAACTAAGATTTTATAGATATTGTTTTGGAAAAAAATGATGAAGTAGAATAATTTGTATATAAATGTATTGTATAAAATATTTTTAGATATGCATACTAAGTGAAATAGAATTTTTATGGAATCTAATAGAAATTATATTTTTTGATGAAAATCAAAGTAATTTTAAATGTATATATTTGTGTATTTGTCAAATAAAATATCAAGAAAAATAGCATTTTAGTTGAAAACAAATATATCACCTTTTTAATAATATTTTAAATAATATAACAAAAAGAGTACATTATATTAATTTCAATTATATAATTTTGATATACAACAATATTGATTTATCACATTAAAAAAATTAGGTGATTATATTATAATCCAATTAATCAGATGGATATCATGGCATTTCACAGAACCCACTCTTAAATTATACCAATTAATATCTGAAAAAAATGATGGTGTTTTACAAAATCTAGAAACTTGGAACATTGTAAGCATACCTCAAATCACTTAATTTTATATTGAAGAAAAGTATGAATAGTTTGCTGTCGATGATTATATTTAGAGCTCAGGCCAAAATATATAAAAAAATAAGAAATTTTATATTTTAAAATATAATTATTCATGTTTTTGGGGAACTTGTAGTCCCAATTCCCATTTTTAAGAATGAGCATTTTTTATTATATTATAGTTATATAATTGTTATTTTTAAAATAAATATAAGTTGAAATAAAAAATATATCACCTGCAGGCTCAACCTGGGTACAAAGGCCAGGCTGTATTTTAATTTTTAAATATACTTGGCCAGACCTAAAAAAAAATTCAAAAAATACCTGGGCGCTGTATAATTTAAAATCAAACATTTTAAATCTCCATTATTAGCTATAAAAATTAAAAATAAATATAATATATAATATATTTTAAAATATCTCAGCTCAGCCTGAAAATTTTTTTTTAATAAAAAATAATCCGATTGGTCTTAAAAATATAAAACCTTGACCAGATTGAGAAAATTTTTAGAAAAAAGGCTGGGTTGAGCCAAAAAAAATTTTAATAAAAAAATCCAGGCCTGACCTCTTCAAATGTGATATTTTTTTCAACTTAAAATCATTTTTTGAGCTCGTTTTTTTTTAAATTTAAAATCTGATCTTACCATAAATGTATTTCAGTATGTTCAGAATACCTATCTCATGAATTTTAGAAAATTTTACCGTTAAACTTTAATTTATATAAAAACTATGCAAAAACCAATAAAAGTTATACTAAGCTCAAAGGTTCATTGCAAAATTATCTGAAGTTCATAGGGTAGGTATTCTAAACATGCTGGAATACATTTCTGGTATGATCAAATTTTTAAATTTTTAACGAAGCACTCAAAAAATGATTTAAAGTTGAAAAAATAACACATTGCCACTAACATATTAGGAAAAAGAAAGTGGAAATAGAGATTGAAGGACAATTAGGTACATGGCCTAGACATGTAAAACAAATACGACTGAGAATAGGAGGTATGTAGAAAAAGGAAATTTTGGGATAAGATGAAATTTGATATAGAAAAAGAAAATTTTGGGATGAAAGCAAAAATTATGTAGAAAAAGAAAATTTTGGGATGAATGTTTACGATACCAACTGTATGCTTACTAAACTGTTATCAATTTATAATTTTAATACACAAATCTAAATTTTAAAATTTCTTTATGAGTTTAAACAAAATTTTCCTTTTTATTAATTTATCCAACAAAAAAAACTTTTTAAAATTTTTTTAATACATTCAATTATCTTATAAAAGCAAACTTTGATACAAACAAACTAATTATTCAAATTATAACGATGCCCTTTACCATTATATATCTTTTTATTTATTTATATTATTCAAATTTTGTAACTAAATACAACAATATAAATAAATTAGGTAAAAAGTTACAAAAATAAAATCAAAAAAGAAATATTTTGTCAATTTTCATAAATAAGTTATACTTTAACAAAATATTTTAAATGAAACCCAAAAATAGGATGAAAAGCTATCGTTTTTTGTTTAAGCCCTTGGTTACAATTATATATAGCATTTTACCTTGTAAAATTATTATATTAGCTAAAAAATTCATAGTTATGGTTAACTCTCTTTCACTCCTAATATTAAAATATGAATGTAATTAAAGATATACGCTATAGAATTTTAATATTTATTAGATTTACGCCTTAATATTACAAGGTCAGGTTGACTTGGTCTTTGACTTTCTATCTTCCCAATATTTATTTATAACAAACGAAATTTTTCGATCATGCTTGAATTTGCTAGAAGGATGCCCCATCATGAAAGTATTAAATTTTCAATGTTTCTTTCTGTAAAGTGATTAGCAATAATGAAAGAATTATAAATAAATAAATAGTATATAGTTTGAAAGAAAAATAGAGCCTTAAATAAACGAATATAATAATTAAAATAATATATAAGATTGTGGACAAACCACCGCTTAACAAAAATGTCCCGAATTTTGAAATTTTGCATAAGCTCTGGTCCAAAGAATGTTCCCATATGTTGGAAATTTTAACGGATCACAAATTTGACGATACTGACGATATAAATATCAACATCGTTAAAACTGGAATTTCGAACGTTTTAAAGGTGGTATTTTAAAAAAATCCTGAATAGATTTGAAACGAATATTTATTAAAAGTTATGGAATTCTTTTTTAAAAAAATTTGCTAATTTCCATTTAAATTTCCTTGTTATGGTTGTGTACAAAGCACGTTTCAAGAGATTCTTTAACTTTAAGGAATTCTAACGTTATAGTTTTGAAAATTTTCAAATTTAAGAAAAATATTGGCCATGTTTAACATTGAAAATTTTAAATTAATCTTATTTCATAAATTTTTTTAAAAATTTTCGAATTAAATTTTTTGATACCTCGAGCCTAAATAACAAAATAAAATTGTTTTCAGATTTTAACTGGTGAAGATGGAATATTTGCGGAGCTAGCTAATAGCCAACCTTGGTATTCTACCTTCGTTTCTACATTATTTTATCAAAGCCCCACTGTCACGATCCAAGATATTCCTTTTAATTTACAAGTTTAATCGATATTTTATAAACGCATTTGGACTTGATTTTTATATCTCTTAAATAAACAGATATGTCAAACTTAATAAGGGGATAAGGTTGGAATTATATCCAGGGTCTATGAACACTGACATATATATTTTTAAAAAATAAAAAAGTAAAGGAAACGGAAACATTATTTTCAAAATTATCCACAATCTTTTCTGGAAAAATTTGTTCCGGAAGTCCATTTGGCCTCTTGTAAAACATTCAGGCTTTTTGTAACGTGTCGAATATAAAAACTTAAAAATTGACGCGAACTGAACATTTCTAATCTTAAAATAATTAAAACGGGTGCTGATATCCAACAAAAAAAAATTCTGCTTCCAAAACGTCCTGGTTTATACAAATTATAGTATCTGGGGGGGGGGGGGTGTAGTCGTTTGTGACGACCACTACATATTCTCGTCAAGATTTATTTATTACAATATTTACTGATTTTTTTTTATTAACACAAAAAAAGGAATTTTTCAGAAAAATTTGCCCCAACGTTAAAGACAACCTAAATCAATTGGATACCATAATCATTTCCATATTCGAACTTGATCACTTTTCCGTTTTAACTGAATTATGGTGAAAGATCCTTCCCCATAAAAAAAATTGTACCTTTAATATGATTGGTCAGACCAGGTCTCACGATCTGGCTTGACCCTGACTCACTTTTTCTCACTAAAAAAAAGAAAATTTGAATAATAAACATATATCTGAAGACTCTCATTAGTAAATATTATTTTTTTGAAAATCGCATTTTTAAATAAGGCCTTTAAAATAACCCTTTTTTAATAGTTTAGATATAATATATTTATATATACACTAATAATAAGAATAAATTTAAACATAACATTTATAGACTTACATCTCCTTTTTTTTTATATAAATTTAAAAATATCTAAACATTTGACTCTAGTTTTAACAGGCGACTGGAGATTATTCTTTAAGTTGTCGCACTATTAAATCTAAAGCGATTCAGACTAGGCCATGCTAATATCTGTTCTAGCATGATAAAATTCCCTAGCGGCTCCTGACAGTAGAATATCCTGAGTGATGTTTCCAAACTCTAAATCTTTTTTACATAAAATTTATTAGGCCCATCAACTTTTTGTAACCCCACAAAGTATTGTTTACTAACAGCAAAATACATTTTTTTTACAAAAAAAAAAGTCAATATAACAATGATTGGTGGTTTCCTGCCCACGTGTCAGATCTCTTTGCTAGAATCCTCGACTTAAAAACACCATGTGTCAAGTATACGAGAATTAAATATGATTTATTTAATATAAATATGCAATTTGAAATTCCTATTTCTCCACGCATCATAACTTGTTTTACCTAACAGAGGTCTGCAAATGGCAAAATTTTTAGGCCCCACCTGGAGGAAATTTTCCCGGCAAAGTTTTTGCCCAACCAAGCCTGGTCCAGTTTAATTTTTTTAATAAAGTTGCCTGTCTGGTTTTTAATTTTTTTTTTAAATACATGGCCTAGACCAAAATAAAGTTAACAGCTATTTAATCTTGTGGAATGATTAAATTAAAAGCATTATGGAGTATCATTTCTATGAAATATTAGAATTTATCAAATATATATACAAAAATAAATTTTGCCAAGCCCGGCCTAAAAAAAAATTATAATTATAGATCTCCGATCCCTAATTAGTTTATTTCTGCTAAATTCAGAAGTAGTTAAGAAAAACTAAACGAAGTATCTTTTTAACACTTCGGGCTGAGCTCTAACCCCAATACATTATTTTTAGAGAAGTTTATCTCCCTCAACGAATAAAAATGAATTATGAGTTATTATATCGCATTTTACCTTGTAAAAATATCATTTCAAACTTCTAAAAGCATCAATGTTGAACGGCTCGATTTAACTAATTTTAAATTAAGATTTTACCATTACGCTCCAGATTTAATATAGATGCCCAAACTTTTCTACCAACTATGGCCAAAACATCATGGTTGCGTAATATTTTTTGACGAGAATATTGGGTTAGTCATTCTTAAAAATCGAACCGTTTAGCAACACTAAAAAGCATCATGATGATACTAATATTTTTGATGAGTTTAAAATGATAAGTTTTAGGAATGGCGATGTATTTTACGAGGTAAAAATAAATTGCTATGCTGAGTCTTTTCAAAAATTTAATTTGAATTGGGATTAGTGTTTATTAGATTATTTTTTTTCATAATTTTAATCCGAAATTTCTAACACGAATAGTGCGTTATTCAGTGTACTATTAGTAAAACAGAAAAACAAAATATGCCATATTAATATGTGTTTATTTATTATTTTCGAAGAGCCGATTGTGATCTAAGGGAGTATATTATACTTGAATTCGTTTCGAATTTCAGTGATCATGGAAGGTAATAATATCAATTTTTTTTCTTCAAATATTGAAAAAAGAAGGATTGAAAGAATAAAAAAATAATAAGATGATGTTAAAAACATACCAATTATTATTAGAGCTGGGAGACTAATTTTTTTTTATTAATCGTCAGTTTAGTATTATTATGTTCTATATATCTAAAATGCGAATACATTTTTTTTTAGTAACAGGTTTTTATTAGTTAAAACCAAATCAAGTGAGATGAGATTATTTAGTTTTTTATTTTATACAGTTTATGGTCAATCATGCCTATATATTTGGATGCCTGCGTTAAATTTGGAAAGTAAATTTTTTAATATTTGCTTTTGTCATAATTAGATATTTATAAGAAAATAATTGGTTTTTTTAGTCCCCAATGCACATGTTTTATTTTATCACACTCAAAAACTGCCTCCTTTCGCCATTATGTCTCTGACACTATGATTAAAAACGTTACCATATTATTCACTTTTTTTTTTAAAAAAATAATTTTTTTTTAAAAAAATAATTTTTTTTATATAAGGGCGCACCTACAAATCTATTTATCCAAAATGTCCTTAGATAACGAATTCAAGGCTCACAAGATAATGGAGCTATGTGAAGAAAGAAATTTTAGTCTTTTGGGTTGGTGAATTTTTCCTATTATTCTAAATATTACCTTTTCTTCTTGGTGGAGGCTTTTCACGAAATAATTAAATATTGAAATACTGATTTTAAAAGTTTATTTTTATTTACACTGTACCAGGATTTTATAATATTTATTAAAGACCATTTTTAAATTTTGAAAATTCTGATTTGACCGGAAAAGTAATTTTAGTCTATAGAGAGTAACAAACCCTGCGAATTTTAGACAATTTTTGCCTTTAAATTTTGTGTATCAATTGATTTGTTATGGAAAATCTATATATATAAAGGAATATAAGTTAAGTATGGTTGAAAATATTTCCAAATTGTCTGAAATTTAAATTGTAGGTATCCCATACTTGCAGGAATTCATTTCTGGTTAAATAAAAAGTGGTATCGATATTTTTAATATACATATCTTATAAATTACAACTCCTAATGGTTCCCAAACAATCTTTTTATTTTTATAAATTATCTATTTTTTAATAATCATTTTCATAAACAAAAGAATCACATTATTAAAAAAACAATAATCTTTCTTCTCGAAAAAATATATTGAAAAACGTCCATATCTTTCAACTACGAATTGACAGATACAACAATATTGATCCCCTTAATATATATATATTAAAATAAAAGTGGACCTTATTGCATTTTAATAAAATCGTTGTCAAGCGAATTGCTATATGACGACACGTCATATATCATTATTCCTGTAAATCAGGCCATTGTTGTTCCTTTAAATAATCATAGATTTTAAAACCTGTATAATTTTCATCATACATTTTTTCTATATACTTACCTTAATCTAAGATTTACTTATATATATAAAAAAAAATAAAACGAAAGAAATCTGATTTCATTTTATACTCATTTCCGATTTTAACTTCCCTTATTTGCTCCTAATATTTCGTTGGTCCATTAAATTTAAGAGCTTTAATATATTTAAATTAATATTTTCTAGCTTAACAACATTCAGAGATATTGGCATTTTAAAAATTTGATAAATTATGCAGATCCCCTCATCCTAATCTCGGCTCCTGGGTAAGATTGAAATTTAAAATTTAATTTTTCCCAAAATAAAATCTTAGGGGTGGGATCAGGCCAGATTTTTTTGATTTGTTATGGATAAACCATAAACTATATTATATATATATTACATTATTATATGTAAAGTTAGAAGCATATGCCGACAAATGGCCACGAATTATATAAATATAAACCAATACGGTTCTGCTTTGCACTGGGCTTTCAATGGAAAAGATTTCGACATGTCAGATTACATAGTTCTCAAGTAATTGATTTTCCTTTAGATTTAAAAGATTTTTTTTGTAAAAATATGTAGTGATCCAACAATATTCGTTAGTTTTAAAAGTTTTATTTTTTATTTTACGATGATAAAACACTTTTTTCCCCATAGAGAATTAAATTTAAAAACATTATATTAGATAGATATATTTTATTTTATTTTTATTGATTTTTTAAAGTATTTATTTTTGACATTTTTATTATTTTCAAAAATTGATGACTCTTATTGCTAGGACTAGCCAAATTATTCATAAAATGAAGTTATAATGATTCAAATATTCCTATAATATTTTTTTTAAAACAAGAATCATGTGAAAAATAAATGTTAATGATGGTCATACCCCAAATAAATCGGGCGGCCATCACATCAATATTCAACTGCTCTTTGGTTAAACAATACCCAACGGCCTTTTTCAGAGCACCTGTATAACATCTGTAAAATTAAAATTCAAAAAAATTTGTGAAAAACTAAAGCTAACTATGTTCTAGCAGACATTTAAAAGCAGTTAATTTTATTCACTTTAACATTTAATTATATGATATGACCATTTAAAACAATGACTAAAACACGAAATTAAAAAACTGCGTTATTTTAGAATTAAAAGTATTTCCCTATTAATTGCCATAACTTCGAAATTAGTTGTCCAAAAATAATTTATTAAATCATTAGGGGAATCTTGAAATCGATATTAAAATTATTTAGGTCAGAATATGACTTAGATACCAAATTTTTGCTTGGAAAAATAGGTATGACTAAATCTGCATTGCTAGAAAGCAATTAATCACAATCAATCAAAATTTTACATATTACAACTCAAATTTTTAAAACACTGAATAAATACATATCCATAAAGAGGCGTTAAATGCATAAATATGAAAATATTTTAGGAAACCCGAATGATTATTGGTTAGCGCTTTTTTCTATATTTGGATGTAAATACATATGGAAAAAAATTAAAAAAAAATGATAGGTTTCCTTGACATTTTAATTATTAGCATGTTTAGAATCGAAAAATAATCGAAAACTTGTAAGGTACATAATGCAAGCGTTATTGATCAAAATTTATTCATTTTTGTTTCCAATGCTTATATTTACGTGTATAACATTATCCAAAAAAATAATTTGATTCAATTGCCAAACTCAAAATCGACCACTTATTAAATATTCGATTAACCAAATTTGCTAGTAGTATAAATTGAAAAATGTTCATTTGAGTTTTATATCTCTATAGATACATGCTAAACATTATCTCAAAAAATATTTTAAAAATATCGAGATTATTGTCGAACTCAAAACCGACCACTTACTAAATATTTAATAATATATATATCATCAAAAACATTTAATAAATAAAGGATAATTTTATTAAATTAATGTCAAACTAAAATAAATTTGATTCAATAATTATAAACAAAAGCAAATAAATAATATATATATAATTTCAGATATTTTCTTGTATTTTCTTCTCTATTTGATATCATTATTTCCTCGTGTATTTCTAAAAATATTTCACAATATAGAAATTATTAATAATAAATCAAATATAATATTGTATTGTATTTGCATGCGATATGAAATTTTTTTTCAAAAAATTGGTATTTATTAGCGATATGAATGAATAATTAATAAACAAGTTGATTATATGATGGGGTATTTAATGATTAGGATGAAGCAATGTATCTGATACAAAGATCTATTTTGAAATTAAAAGATTGATTTGATATACTATATACGAAAAAAGTGTACGACGATAGGGCGTAATTATTATTTTGACAAGGTTTTTTAGAGTTTTTAGGTTTTAAGAGTATTTCGACGCACAATGACATAACCTTTTCTTTTTCCCGTTGTTTACTACCTTTTATTAAATTTTCTACCTTAATTCTTTTTTATCTTCCTCACTAAATTTCTCCCAAATTGATAAATCTATTTGAAATGACTTATACCCTTCAGCCAAATAGTATTCTCCTTTTCCTATCAATGCTCTTTTGAGATCTTTTTCTTATATTTGTACCTTATTGTATATTACAGAGTTGTTAAGGAGCGGCGCTACAGGAGCGCGCTATACTTTTTCAAAAACACCAGGAACCCCTTTTAAAAAATCAGAAGCGGGAGCGGCTCTTTTTAGGGCTGGCTCCACCGCTCTTTTAAATTTAATGTATAAATTAAATTATTTTTTAAATCTATTTATTAATTAAAATTCATTAAAAATGAAATTTTATTTAAATTTATGCAATATTAAATGTTGAGGCGAATTTTTATTGTTTTTTCATCTTATATCAAGTTAAAATATTAAAAATCAAGTTTTTCTTTCTTTTTATATTGAAAATATCTTGGAAGATCTTTTATAGATATATGATAAAAAATAGTTCTTGATATTATAGATCCAGATATCATAGAAGAAGAAATCGATATAAAAAATCAAGTTATCTATTTAGATAACTTTATTGCAGATTTTCAAATGTTTATGATGTTGAAAATATCATTACTGCTACTATCTATCCTCCATTCAAATTAAATTGGGAATGGATAAAATGTGCACAAAATAGGCAACTATAATATTAATTAATTAATTTTTTAAGAAAACAAATTCCTGATGCAAAAATAGCTACTAGTTCACGGGAACCCTGCAATGATTTGGAAGATTTTTTTTGTATTCCATAAAATTGATCATCGGGAAGATAATATATTGGACCAATATTTTTAAATAATGATATCAAAATTACTATTTTTGATAAATCTCCTGAATTAATTTTTTTATATATAAAATACAATACCCCGCTTCCCTCTAGTGCTCCTGTTAAACGCCTGTTTAGTATTGCTAAACAGGTTTTAGGGTAGAAACGTGGATGTTTGTTAGATTTATTGGAAATATTTTGATATATCATTTAATATAAATAAAACTTTTTTGATAAAAAAATATGATTTTGTTTCGTGTACTTTCTAAAAAAATGAAAATCAAAGGAGCGGCTATGGAGTGGCACTCCATTACTTGGAGCGGGAGCTAGCTTCTTTTAAAAATGTAGTAGCGGGAGCGGGGGCTAGCTCCTTTGAGAAGGTAGGAGCGAGAGCTTGAGCTAGCTATTTTTAAAAGGGTGCGTTAATAACTCATATATTATATCAATTAAATTAATTAAATGACGTGAGTGCCAATTAGTATAACTTTTAAAAATATGTTAAATAATTTTTAATATTTTCTTTTAAATGTCTTTTACATAATAATCTCACGAAATTTCGAAAATTTTGTTTTATAGAGGTATGTAGAGCCCTTTCATCATCTGTCCCAGAAATTATATAATTTTTATTTCGATTTTTAATAAAATTTTATCTAAATCTGAAAATAAATTATTTTAGGCTTAGTAACCTGCATACAAATCACTGAGATTAAATGTACGATCGAAACCAAGAATGGATGGATTGTGGATTATTTTCTGCACACATATATTTTATATTTTTAATCATTAAGGGTGTATAAAGAATAATAGAAGTAATTTTATTTTTTTTAAACTATTACACTTTGTACAAAAGGATGTTTTTCAATATTGGAAATAATATTTAATATATTATCAGAAAAATTATTTGAACCAACTATTTTATTTTATTTTAGCTGCTTAATATTACTAGGACTCGTTTTAAAATCATTTAAGATTAAATTTCTATATAATTTAAGAATTTTTTCGGTGTTAATATTTTTCTCAATTTCCCTTAAAGTAGTTGGGTCTGGGTGTGTACGTATATACTATTTTTCATATATATCTTCATTTATAACTTTTACTGGATAAAAACCAAAGTATTCCACTAAATACACATCTTTCAAATTAAGTTTGGAGGTATTATCATATTTATTTAAAACATTAATTTCCATTTTATAGCTTTTGTCCCTTTTTAAAGAGTTATAATATATAGTATGTATATATATAAACATGTAACTTTTATCAGGTGCTTTGATTATTATGTCATATATTGGTTTATTATTCCTCCTAGTATACTTACAAAGACAACTATTTTTAAAAACATATGAACCCAATATATTATTTTTATCTAAGAAATAAATAAATTTTTGAAAACTGGATTTACCACTATTCCAAGCCCCACAATCATCAACATATGTATTGCGATATCCAAGATTTTTTTACATTATTAGTATTATTAACTATACAATATTTATTGTTTTTGATACCTATTGGTATAGTATATAAAATGTTAGAATATAGTAAAAGTTGTATTACTTGTGTAGTCTCGATAAATGATTTTTTGAAGATGCCATCACTATTATCGTATGATTAAAAAATTTTTATTATTTAAAGGGTTTGGCGATAAAATGTTTTCTATTAAAAAATTAATGAATTTTTGATTATTAGTATATTTATAAATCTCATTATTTTAGAAAAAAAATCGACTTTTTAACAATAGGTATAAATTCAATCATAGCCAATATCAGTATATGAGGAAGAATATATATAATTTAAATTCGATTTTTTTAAAAATAAGTGTAAAATTATGGGATTCATTAGTAGATTTATTATCATAATTATAGCTAATATCATTAATTGGGGAAAATTGTATATAATTTAAATTAGATTTTTTAACATTATCCGTAATAGGTATAAATTCATGGTATCCATTAATATACTTATCATTATCCAATGACTATCAATATTGACATTTATTATGTGGGTTGAAGTTAAGCTTTTTTAATAAAATGAAATGATTTATGTGAATATTTAAAATACGGTTATATTGTAAGATGTCCACATTATGTTGATTTTTATATCAGAACATCTGATAACATCCTGACCATTTATATCAGGGGTATAGGGGCTGGGGCTTAATAAATTAAGTGATAAAGATAATTAATATTTTGAAGATCATCAAAGTCTCTATTTAATATGACCTCGATTGCGGCAATAATACGTAAATAAATATGGTATGTTTCTTCATCGAAAATGGCTAATGACACATCGCGATATAGGCAATTCATTACCTATCGTTTTCCATGGTGAAAATCTTAATAATATAGTTTTATACCTATTACGGATAATGTTAAAATATCTAATTTAAATTATTTACAATTTTCCCCAATTAATGATATTAGCGATAATTATGATAATAAATCTATTAATAAATCCAATAATTTTATATTTATTGTTAAAAAAATCGAATTTAAATTATATACATTCATCACCAAATAATGATATTAGCTAGGATTATTATGATAAAATCTATTAACGAATCCCATGAATTTATACCTATTGTTAAAAATTCGAATTTTTCCCCAAATAATGTTATTTATAAATATACTAATGATCAAAAATTCATTTATTATTTTAATAGAAAACATTTTATCGCCAAACCCTTTAAATAATAAAAAAAAATTTATCATACGATAATAGTGATGGCATCTTCAAAAAATCATTTATCGAGACTACACAAGTAATACAACTTTTACTATATTCTAGCATTTTATATACTATACCAATAGGTATCAAAAACAATAAATATTGTATAGTTAATAATACTAATAATGTAAAAAAATCTTGGATATCGCAATACATATGTTGATGATTGTGGGGCTTGGAATAGTGGTAAATCCAGTTTTCAAAAATTTATTTATTTATTAAATAAAAATAATATATTGGGTTCATATGTTTTTAAAAATAGTTGCCTTTGTAAGTATACTAGGAGGAATAATAAACCAATATATGACATAATAATCAAAGCACCTGATAAAAGTTACATGTTTATATATATACATACTATATATTATAACTCTTTAAAAAGGGACAAAAACTATAAAATGGAAATTAATGTTATAAATAAATTTGATAATAATAGTTTGGTTTTTGTCCAGTAAAAGTTATAAATGAAGATATATATGAAAAATAGTATATACGTACACACCCAACTACTTTAAGGGAAATTGAAAAAAATATTAACACCTAAAAAAATTCTTAAATTATATAGAAATTTAATCTTAAATAATGATTTTAAAATGAATCTTCGTAATATTTAGTAGCTTAAATAAAATAGTTGGCTTAAATAATTTTTCTGATAATATATCAAATATATATTTCCAATATTGAAAAACATCCTTTTGTACAAAGTGTAATACTTAAAAAAAATAAAATTACTTATATTATTCTTTATACACCCTCAATGATAAAAATATATGTGTGCAGAGAATAATCCATCCATTCTTGGTTTCGATCATACATTTAATCTCAGTGATTTATTTATGTGTTACGGTATCAGTTTTTAAATATAAGTCTATCAAATTTGGGTCTACTAAAGCTTATCCAATTTTTCTAGGTCCAGTTTATTTGCTTGGGAATGTTGATTACCAAACCTATAAGTTCTTTTTAGATTTAGAGGGAATTTTATAGAAAATATTAATTTTGGGACAGATGATGCAAAGGCTCTACATACCTCCATAAAACAATATTTTCTAAATTCCTTGCAAATACTATGCTCAAGACATATAAAAGAAAATATTAAAAATTATTTAAGAGATAAAGAGGGGGTTCCCGAAGTAATAAAAAACAAAATAATCTTTAATTTTTGATAATAATGGCATGATATTTTCATATTTTCGAATTTCTGATGATATTTTTTTTAATAATACTTAATAATTTACGTAAATTTTGCGAAATTAATCACTATTATTTTTTTTATAGATTATATTAACACTTATTTAGAAAAAAATTGGTACAATTATGTGTATGTCCCATTAAAAAATAAAAATATAAGTGTTTTTAAAAGTTATACTAATTATCAATCACGTCAATACTTAATTGATATAATAAGGTACAAATACAAGAAAAAGATCTCCAAAGAGCTTTGATAGGAAAAGGAGAATATTATTTGGCTGAATGGTATAAGTCATTTCAAATGGGTTTATCAATAACTACGGTTTTACATCTTGTATATTTTACCATTGCAGGGTATGACTAAATACGTTAAACTGCATTAAAAAGTAATTAATTATAATCAATCAAAATTTTATTATATTTGTAAAATTAAAAGATCGATTTGATATATATTTATATGAAAAAGAGACGGCGTTTAGGGCCTTATTTTTCAATTTAAAATTTTTTTTTTATTGATACTGTCTTATTTTTTTTATTTACCCTAATTTAGGTTTTAAAAGTTATAGTTCCCCTGATGACATAACCTTTTCTCTTTCCGTTTTTTTACTACCTTTTATTAAATTTTCTACCTCAATTTTTTATATATCTTCCTCACTAATTTCATTTTGGGTATTACATAAATTTAACTGTGATTAATATTACAAAAAATTTAGCCATTACCAATTATTTATTTATTGACTAATTCAAACTTGCGTATTTACCACAAAAATAGCGAAAACTTATTGAAATAATTCTATTGCCTGTCGAATTATAGATATCTGATCAAAATGCGCAAATATTTTAGCCTCCCCATGCTCACTCATTGCCCTCCTTCTAGTTACGGCCATGAGAACGCAATTATTGAGGGAGGGGACGCATCCCAAATACGTGTTTTACTAGGCGCGAAAACTTTCCCCAATTCGAAACCCTTGACTTTTTAATGAAATTTTTAAAAATCGCACTTATGGAAGGATAATTTAATTTATTATTTCCCGAATATTAAAAACTATTTTTTTTAAAAAAACAAAGAATTTTGAATAGCAACGAAAATCTAAAAGAAAATACTCATTTCAATGTAGTCGGAAACCTGGGTCGTTATTCTCACGAAACATCTCTTTTAGCTTATTTAAGTAATCTCCCTAAATTTAGTTTTCGCCGCTCTATACATTTATATTATAAAATGTTTAGTTTTTATTTTCTCTTTCATAAATATGATTCATAAGCAAAGGTTAAGGAAATGGTCGATTTATACGAGGAAAAATCATACGATAAGGTAGAAACGTTGATATTGACGCTCTTAAATCAGCCTTTGCCTTCCGCTAGGTATTATATACCTTATCGACAAAACCGTTTGTGCCCGTGCCCTTGTTTATTGTATTTTTGACACTTAATTCTAATTAGACCAGTCTATTTATATTCTAAACTATGACACCCTTTTCTGTTTTGTTTAACAGGTGGTAGTAAATCTTAATAGCCCTCTTTCTTTTTATTCTGTTTAAGAGGAATGTACTATTTAGACGGCTAAACAGATTCTTGTTTATAAGTAAAAACGAATCAGGACACGACCTTTTTATAATATAATTTAATTCAAATCATTTTTTGGATCTACTTTATCTTTTGCTCAGTTTGGAAAAAAAGTAAAAGACTGACTTTGAAAGGGCATTTTGAAGAAAAAAAATGAAAAAATGCTCTATGATTTATTATTTATAACGAGCCGAACACCCGTCAAGAATGACGGGTGAATCATAATTTTATCCTTTGTTTAATTGCTGGAGAACCAAATATTATCCTATCTTATAAACATTTATACATTACTTATTGATGATTATCGGTTTTCAACACTCGCATTTGTAACCATATAAAAAGAGAAAATAAAATAATTTAATTTATATTGAAACAAAAAAGTAAGGTATCAGATATATCCAAAACATAGAAAGATGCAGTATTTTTAAGCATTAGTCTAGTATATCTCAGTGCGAATTTCTTATTTACCAAACTCAAATAATCTTAGACTTGAATTTCTCTTCTCTGAATCAAAATTCATTAAAATATATAATACCTTTTTTATATTTCCTATATTCTCGTTTCTTTTCCCAATACAACTTTTAAAATCTATCATCTTTGGATGGTTTATAAATTTTATGAGCAGTTTTTTTTGTTCGCTATTCATTTGAAGGTATGTTTGCAGCCAGAGTATACACTATCATCATCAAAAAGAATGTTTTAAAAAAGGCACAGCATAATAACATTTGCTCCAAAAATAAAAAATCTTCAAAGATTATGATATCTGAAAATTTTTTATAATGAAGATTTTTTTAGAATTTATGATAATTTTATCTATTTTTCCAAATTATCTTTATAAAATAATCTTTTATGATAAAATCTTTCACGATGAATCAAGTAGTTGATAAATTATAATATAAGTACTTAAAATAGTAATTTTGATCTCTGAAAAAAAGATATAGTTAAATATGTTCAAATTTCACCTATATATCTTACATCCAAATCATTTGGAAAATTTTTTAAATTCTTCCATTGGGTTACAATATGAACTTAATCGAAACATTTATTATATTTTTAACTGTCGCAGTTGCGAACATACAAATTAAATAATATTAATCAAAAAATAGATGGTATATGAAATGTCAATCAATTATTTTTTTTATTTTGTATATTTTTATATTGAAGTATTGGTAATTCACTGAAACTATGGGAAATTTTAAATATATTTTTTTTTTAATATTTTTTTTTTATTAAAAAATAATTAATATGCGATCGTCTGGATATTTGTGGAAATTTTTTGATGTAATAATAATTCAAAGTTTCATTACTCAAAAGTTTTAGGAATTATATTTTTTTCAATAAATATTAATTTAACGTAGAATATTTTTTTAAATTTAACAAATATTTTTTTTCCCTTTTTATGGATTACCTTAATTTTCATAATTTCACATACAAGAAGCATGCCTAAAAGATCATGAGCTTCTTATTAATCACACATGTTGTTATAATAGCATGAAAATGGAAAAAAAATGCAGCATCTTATATAGTAAGATGCTCAACGTATTCAAGCAGCTATTCTATATGGAAGGGTTTAATATTGTATTTTTTAAATTATATTAATTTTGCACTATATATTTGAAATATTAATCTTCCTATGAAAGAATTTATTCATCTATTATATCTTTTTGTATCCAATTATACCTGACAGTCTTCGTTTTATAGAAAATGGTAAAATATATCTAAAATTTGTCAATATGTTTTTCTAGGTAAGCAATATTTAGAAAAATTTACTGCCATACACAGACCATTTATTTTGAAAAAATTGGGGGCCCTGGGAATTTGATCAAAATAGATGAATCCCATATTTTTAAAAGGAAAAATAACACAGAGAGGATTTTAAAACCAAATGCTATTTGGGTTGTAGGTGGGACAGCAAGATTGATGGAAAATTTTTTATTGCTGAAACTTACAAAAGAGTTAAGAGACCCTTCGGTATCATCAGTAAGCACGTCCATACTGATTCAACAATGACTGACAAATGAAAGGGGTAAATTAAATATTGATAAATCTTAAAATTTAATATTTTTCCAGGTTATAACCATTTTAATGAAAATGGATATAATCATTACTCGGTCAATCACAGCAGAAACTTTATAGACCTAAATGATATATCAATCCATACTCAACATATTGATTGAGGGATATTAAGGCGAGCATCCCCAGAACTGGAAGAACCTCTCATTTATTTACATGTGAATATTCTTATTTTCATAACATTAAAAATGTCAAATTTAAGTAAATTATTTAAATTTATAAATGATAGTTTTTCCTTAAAATTATATATATCTTTATTGTCATTGTTTATATACTATTTTTATTTAAATAAATTTATTATCTAGTATTTGATTTAATAGTCCTAACTTATAAGTATCCAATACAGTACACGCTTTTTTAAAATTTCCAAATAAATTTTCACAAAAATAATATTAAAAACTTCCCCAAGTTTCAGTGACTTACCGAAAAATTATTATAAGTTTTTCTGGGAAAATTATTATTAGAAATAAAGGCTTATAATATTGAATTATTTCGAGCAATTTATTGTTTGGGAAATAGAGGTTTGTTATAATAACAATTAAATGATATCAAAATTATGGTGTATTAATTAAATAAACGATTTTATATTATTTTATAAATTGATATTATCATTATTATTAATTTTTATATAAAATATTTAAATAATCTATTTGTTTAAGAACAAAGATTTGTTAAAATAAATAAAACCTTAAGCAAAAATATTAAAAACTTAATTTCATAAATATTAGTCCGCAAGATGGTGTTCATTCATTTATTTAAATATTTATATTATATACAATAACTATAACATTAATTGAGGCAAAATAATATTCAAAAGAATTTATATAGTTTTTCGATAAAATCAATTTTTTTAGAGTCAATATTATTACATTCGATATATTATAAATTTATATAAAATATTAGTTTTCATATGTTAAATAATAAAATATAAAATATATTGATACGTGAAACTAGTGATGTAAGCATAAGGCAAAAAATCCATTTAGTTTTTATTGGGCTGTGCCGATCCACATATTTATCACCGACCCGATATTTATATTGTAACCCAAGTGTAATTAAGAAATCAATATATTTTTTTTTGAAAAAATCGGATTATGCATTTAATTTAATTTTTTTATTTCTACAATAATTTTAAAAAAGTTTACGGATATTGGGAGTATTAAATGAATTTTTCATTATTCCTCCCCATTAAATTAGAATTCCGCAGATAACACATTTTGCAAAATTATCTTCAGATATCATATTTAAAAAAATTCTTTTATTTAAAATATAAATAATAAATTGGAGTTATTATTTAAAAAGATTTCAAATAAATAAAACTTTGGGTGTTCCTTTCTATTTTTATAAAAAAAAAACTTTTAAAATACTATAAATCTATTTTAAAAAAATAAATAAGATTTAAGTGGTGTTGTGCATTTGCCATGTTTAAATTATTTAGAATATATTATTAATGTAAAATAAATATACATAAAATAACAATAAAAAGAAAAGTAAAAAGATCGGATCGGTTTTTAACAGGTATCGACCCGATCCCATTTTTTTAGAAACCGCTAAATATTGGTGATTCGATAATTAAAAAAATATAGTGATTTATTTTTTTGTTTTTTTATCTGTTAGCATTTTCATCTTCAGCCAAATTTTTAACATTACTAGTGAAAAATAATGTCTGATTTAACATTATCTCTCATTATCATTCATCTTACCAATTTACTGATATTTTACGTTATTTTCCCTGTTATTGTTAAATAACTTGTAAGTTCTCTATATTATAAAATGTTATAATATTCTAGTTTTTGCCATTTTCTTCCTTAAGACTTAATTTTCCGGAAATTCACTTCCCTACGTGAAACATACTTTAAAATGCTTTTCAGACTAAAAAAACATTATTACAAAAGAGCGCATATTAAAAGTGAATGCCATTTATTGGCCTCTTCAACAAGTATTAAATAAAAAAAATTGTTATTTATACATATTATGTGGGAAGAATATTAAACATTATGATCAAAATTAGCAAACATAATTTTTCTTAAGAATGACTATTGCTATACTTAAGTTAGAGCCTTTCCGAGATCTCAGAATTTTTCCTGATTAGACGACCGACGTTTCTTGGCCATTCCCCATATGTAGTTAAATTGGAGGAGATTATTTGTTGCAAAAATTATATATCACTTTCGGTAGGAAAATAAATTGTGTAAGGTGAGGATATTGATAAATTGATTTAAATTTCTAGCAGAGTTGTTAAACACTATTTTTAAAGGTAGTGCGCTACCGCTTTTGTCAAAAAAAGTAGCGCGCTATTATCTACTTTTTATAAAAACAAATTGTTTTATTATTTGCTTATAATGTAATTGTATAGTAAATAATATATAAAAATAAATATTTATGGTTATATTTATTTTTTTTATTTATTTTGTTGCATTTTAATAATAAATAATTTCAATATTATCATCCCCAAGTCTAGAGCGACGATCAGAAAGTATAAGTTTCGCCCTACTAAATACTTCCAATACTAGCACTTGAGGGCGAGGCAGTATTTAATTTTATATACATATTTTTAATATAAGAAAGATTATCAAAAATACTCATCACAGATTTAAAAAACGCGTCGAGGGGATTTTCTAATATATTATCTTTTATTATAAAAAAATTATCATTGGAAGTCATTTTTGTGGTTGTAAATAGGCCATCTGTTTAGTATGAGATTACGTTGATCTGAGCATCATTGGAATTGATATATGATGGCCAATTTAGTTTAAAATTGGGATGAATCATTGCAGCTAATACATTATCATCATTGTATAGGTTGTGTAATCTAAAACTTATAAAAATAGTGTATAAAATATATCTTAATCATAAAATTATATAAATTTTTAGTTTTTAACCTCAAGTTAGAATAAATTATTCATTCAAAATCTAAAAAATATAAATTTTAGTTACCTTCTCTCAATTCCTTTTAACATAAAGTCTACTAGGGGCTGGCATAAGATTAGATTATTCAATCTCTGTACTTTTGTAATTAGGATATTGAAAGTGGTAACATAATACCCCATCTCCATATTATCCTCACCTTCCAAAATTTCAAGGGAAATGCCGCATATTGCATAACCTAAAAAATTAAACTGATATGAAATTGAATAATTATTAATTAGAATTACTTCTGTATACTCTTTTATAAAAGTATGCTCTTCATCGTTAATATATTGAATTTCAACATGATTACAGAGAAAATTCATTCTAATCTTCTTTCATCCAGAAAAAATGCTATTCAATTGATTGTGTGGTATACTGAGTTCCATCTAGTGTGGTTTAGAGTTAATAAATACCTGCTTAATTTTTTTTTAAATACGTCTGAACCTTTAGAAGATTTGTTCTGCTTATTCCATAGATTTTGACATTTGATACCTTTTTAAAATCTTCATTTTTTAGGGCTCCTTCAGCATCCACTGTTGTTATCAAATTTAAATTATGGCATAAGCTTCCCTGATAACTAAGTATTAGAGCATTTTTCATCACATTAAAATTATCTGCTATCTTATTTATTAGTGTCTGGCGACAAAAAATTGTTGTACCAGAGGATAGAGTTTTAATCATCATGGTAAATGATGGATTATCAACCAAGGAAATTGGCTGAACTGTATCAATTATAAAATCAACAATAACTTTATCAGCCAGTTTCTTAGAAGTATTCGCAAGTAATCAATTAGGTTTGAATTGAATTGGTCTTTGGATGTAGAGTCGCCTATACGAAATTTATTTAGATGCTTTTCTTATTTCCTTAAAACTTGGCATGAACATTTTTATAAAATAAATACTATTAGAATTTAAAAATGACAATTACCTTTACGTGTTTTTTGAGGTTATAGCTACTGAATTGAAGGATATACTTTTTTCACATTTTAAACAAATATATTTATAGCCAGTTTTGGTTTTATATTAATTTCAAAATATTTTCCAAATTTTGGAAATGGGAAATTTGTATTATTGTTATTAAGAACAGCCAATATCCTTAGTTGATAATTCATCATTTACATGATGATTAAATATATCCCCTAGTACAACAGTTTTATGTCACCAGACACTAATGAATAGAACAGATAACTTTAAATTGATGAAAAATGCTCTAACAGAGATTCTCATGTCATAATCTAAATTTGATAGCAACAGTGAATGCTGAAGGAGCCCTAAAAATGAAGATTTTAAAAGGGTATCAACCACTTTTTCTAAATGTCTAACTCTATGGAATAAGCAGAACAAATCTTCTAAAGGCTTAGACATATTTTTTTTTAAAAATAGGCAGGTATTTATTAACTCCTAACCACATTGATAGAACTCAGTATACCTTGCAATCAAATTAATAGCATTTTTTTTTGGATGAAAGAAGATTAGAAATGAATTTTCTCTGTTATCTTGTTGGAATTCAATTTATTAACGATGAAGCTTTTATAATAGAGTATACAGAAGTAATTCTAATTAATAATTATTCAATTACATATCATTTTAATTTTTTAGGTTATACAATGTGTGCCTCTTTCCCTTGAAATTTTGGAAGGTGAGGATAATATGGAGATGGGGTATTATGTTCCCACTTTAAGTATCCTAATTACAAAATTAGAAAGATTGAATAATCTAATCTTATGCCTGCCCCTAGTAGACTCTATGTAAAAAACATTGAGAAGGTAAATAATTTATATTTTTTTGATTGACTGAATAAAAAGCTAAAAATTTATAAAATTTTATGATTAAGTTATATTTTAAATACACTATTTTTGTAAGTTTTAGATTCCGCAACCTATACAATGATGATAATGTATTAGCTGCAATGATTCATCCCATTTTAAAACTACAAAAATGACTTCCACTGATAATATTTTTGAAATAAAAGATAATATAATAAAAACAATCCCCTCGACGCGTTTTTTTAAATCTAAAAATACTCAAATGAGTATTTTTGATAATGTTTCTTATATTAAAAATATGTATATAAAATTAAATACTGCCTCGCGTGCTAGTGTTGGAAGATTATTTAGTAAGGCGAAACTTATGCTTTCTGATCGTCGCTCTAGACTTGTGGATGATAATATTAAAATGATTTTTTTATAAAAACGCAACAAAATAAATAGGATTGGGAATTATGTAAAATAATTTTATTATAAATCCTGCATTCTCAGTTACACCTTTTTCCCAGAGTTTAAAAATACAATTATGAGTATTTATTTATTTTATGTAGAGGAGACCGGGGTTATATTGCCCATTAAAAATTGAAGTGCTCTAAAAGAAATAGAAGCAAATTTTCCAAAATCTTTTAGTGTTTTATTATTATAAAATTTTAAAAAATTATGAAAACCCGGAGTGCCTTTTATTCTTCCGCGTTGCATGTCATAGCGCTTCTTTATTTTTAGATTTGTTCTAAATAAACAAATGAAAATAAATTGTCAAATATGTTAAATTCACCAGGTTCCTTTATATTATGTATAATACCAGGAAAACTTGTCACTTAGAACTGTGATACAATTTACAAAAAAAATAAGTCAATCATCTTCATATTGCCATTCGGATTCTTATAAATCAAGTGTTCCCTCCTTAAAAATGGCTAATATATCTCGTTTAAACCTACGCTAGGTTTTCACAATTGATTAAAATTTAATTTGAAAGATATTAAATTACCATAAATATTGTTAATATTTTTATACATGATAAAATTGAGTTTATTTTATCATTTAGAATTAATATTTATTTTTAAAAAATTTATTAGTAAAAATGTAAATAGATTAAAGTTACTTTTGACGTGTTAAAATTTAAATTTGCATTTAAATTTCTCATGAATTATGTGCTCAACATTTTAAGACTTACATAAACACCTTATTAAAATACATATATGACTTAAATTTTAAATCTCAAAGTGTATTAATTTTTTTAAATATTTGAGAAGAAATTACCTGGCCACGATATATCCCAGTCTCCCTACTACTTGATTTCATCTTGAAAGATTTACTTATAAAAGATTTTTTAAAATAATAATTTGGAATTTTAGGTTACTTGATTTCATCTTGAAAGATTTACTTATAAAAGATTTTTTAAAATAATAATTTGGAATTTTAGGTAAAATTTGATCATAAATTGGGTTTTAACATTCTCAATGAATTTTCATTTTAAAAAAATTTTCAGATATCATAATCTTTGAAGATTTTTAAATTTTATGAGCAAATGTTACACTCTTTTAAAACATGATTTTTGATGATGATAGAATGTATACTCTGGCTGCAAAATGTTTTCCTATATAATAAAATATAAACAAACCTTGAATGAATGATGTTCTTTAAACTCAAACACTGCTCATATAATTTATAAATTATCCCAAATATAGATGATTGATTTTAAAAAAAATTGTACTGGGATTAGGAAATATAAAAATAATCTTTTATAAAGGTCCTATATATTTTAATGAATTTTGATTCAGAGAAGTGAAATTCAAGTCTAGGATTATTTAATTTGTACAATAAAAAATCACTACTGAGATACACCAGACTAAAGTTTAAAATTTATGCAACTTTCTCAGTTTTGGAAATATTCTGAAGACCACATTTTTGGTATAATTTTTAATATTATAAATTTTATTAAATTATTTTCTCTTTTTATATGGCATGCGGGCCAGGTGTTAAAGTATAGACCCTTATCACATGGTCTGGAAAATTCTGAATCACTAATCATTCTTGAAGGCTTTCTGCTGGTAAATTATAATTTGCTAAATTATGCATGCACTTTCGGTTCATTAAACCATTCAATATTTCTTTAAAATATTTTAAGTTTTGGTTTTGTATTGCTTCGTTTTATCGGCGAATTTCTAAATCAAACATCAATCAAAGATCCTCACGCGATTTACGAGTTGATGCGATGGGTTGGTGAAACATTCTCTTTAAAACCGGTTGACTCGCTACGAGTTTTTTTTTTCACAATGATTTATATATGCCTTTTATCTCGGAGAATAATATTTTAAACCCCGTATTAATTTAGACGGTGCCGTATACTAGCATTATCCGATCTGGGATCGGTTGGTAAAAGAGATATTCGGGTATTTTAGCTGGCCGGTTTAATAGAAGTAAGATCCTGATCGGGTATATCTCTAATAATGAATAAATATGTTAAACTTTGTAACAAATTTATTCTTTTTTAATATATATAGGAGGATCAAAAATTATTCATCAGGCTAGTAGTCCAGGCATTGTCACAAAATTTATCCGCTACATTTGTTAAAAGAGAGCCAATATTTTGTATGTCACAAGATACGAACATCAAAGAAAATGAAAACCAAATATATACTATTTAGATATAAAATTTACGATAATAATACTCCAAAAGAAAAAATTATGATAGATATTACGTGATATTGTGGAGACACATGAACCATCAATTATTATCAATAAAAATTATAAAATAATTTGCTCGTTCCAATAAAATGTAATAAGGAATGAACTTTTCCATAAAGGGTTTTTCATTTTGAATTAATAATGCATAAAAATGAAATTACATTCGATATTATCAATTTAATATTTTTAAGACTGTTCATGAGTCATGACATTAAACTTCATACCTGATTTTATTATTATATATAGTAAAAAGAATCCTAAATTATAATTCATAGAAAGAATTACAGTTAAACTTGTATTATTATTTTTTTCCATGAACGGCTACTTTGATTCTACGTGTTATAGATGGGAAGGTCCTTATAAAAAAAATGTTCTATATATATTTTAAAATATCTCTTGATACAAATACAACTGCTTATTTAAAGTATCAAAGATATGGATTTTATCTCCATTGGACCTACAAGCCTCCAACAAAATTTTTGACTTAAAAAATTAGCGAATAACTGCTTACCTCCCCCCCTCCCTTAATCGAAATTCTGGCTAATATGATTATATTTAAAGATTACCAATATAAAGTTGTTATTTATTAAATATAACATATCTGCTGCGCGATGCCCCTGTAGAAATTGTTTATTGTGGCGAAAAATTTGGAGATAAACGGGGGTGCTGTAATGATAAAAATTTTGGAAATGTTTTATTAATAAACATTCATTTTTTTATTGTATATTGGTATTAGATATGATATTAGCTTAATAAATATTTTGCTGTGAAATTTAACAATACTATTCCAAATTAAGCATTATGTACACCTTACATAAGTATAATAAAAAATCGTATCTGTATATATATATATACATACATTTTAGACAATGTATCTATATCTCATTTAAAAATTATCTTTTAGCAACTGGTAGTTTGAACTCAATAATATTAAATAAGTATAAATTTCCAAAAAAAAGAAATGCGGCCTGTAAAAAAATTATTTCTTTCAATCTATTCTCGGCCTAAATGACTTCCACAGCTCTAACATTTATAATTTTTTAAAAAATAAGATTATTACTTTTTTAATGTAGGATTTAATATTTGTTTAAAAAACTATATTTCGCGAACATATTTGATTCAATTTATATTTTTATAATTACATTTTGTAAACCTGTTCGTGCAAACAGATGCGCTTCTAATTAACAACCCGTTCTTAAGGCATTCCAAAAATTTAATAGCCAGTTTTCGCACGAGCCAGTATATCCCAGAACTGTCTACAAGGGTAATAAAAATAATTATTTTTCTTATTCTCACTAGGCCCTTGGTGGATAGGGGTGGGAGGGGAATAAATATATCGATAAATAATTGCAATTATCAGCAATGGTTTCGGTTTCATTTTTTGTACAAAATTTTATTAAATTATTTGCTACTTTATTAAAGTCACAAAATATCGCATAATAAAAATTAAAAAGTATGGGGAAATTATTGGTAGGCTAAGGGTTACTATATTTATTCAATTAGAAATACAAAAATAAAGACCAAATTTAATTTTGACCTACTACCCAATTGCTGCTTCTTGCTTCCTCTGATTTATAAACGCAAGCTACCAGCCACGCTAAAATCAACAAAAATAAGAGAGAAAAAACAGATAGACAAGTGAAATTGATATTAACGAAGGAAACTTGGAAGTAATTGAATTCATCGTTATTCGAGTGACTCTGGGAGAGAATATTTCTATTATCTTTTGTAACTATCTTATTCATAATATCCATGCGCTATATAATATCTTCATATAATACTATTTTTACCCTATTATTTTATTCTGCACTATGAACCCATCCAGGCATACTTATTTCACGTTGCGTTTAAAATGGTTCAAGTAAGAGTTAAAAGGTCGGAAGTAAAAAACTTACATTTTTCAAGCAAATATTTAATTTTCTTAATAACAAGTGTATTTAATTTTAATTTAAAGTTATTAGTCTTTGCTTATAAATAAACAAAATTTTACTACATATTATATACAAGGTTTTATAAATTTCATTTAAATATGGGAAAATTTAATGTTAAATTTTATTTATAAAAATGAATATGTACATAAGAGGCGCGATGTAACTGGTTACTGTAAATGATAGTGAGTGATGCAAAATCACTTCATTTGAGACGATTTTTAGAAACGGCTAACTCAGTATTCGATCTAGAAAAATATTACGTAAGCCTGAAGATTTTTCTCAGTTGCCACAAAGCTTTCAACATCTATTAGCCAAATCTCGACTTATGCAATATTTTTGCTAAAATATTGAGTTAGCCATTTTTAGAAATAGCCTAAATGAAACTATTTTGCATACTAGTAAACATGTTCTTATTTTTGCTCTATGTTCGTTTATAATTTGTAATAATAATTATTATCAAATAACTTTGAATAAAATATTTTTTTTATATACTTACTTTAATTATAGTTTTTAATTAAAAAATTTAAAATGATGGGAATATTTATTTTGCTCTATATGGATATAAGTCTAGCATTCATAAATGACATATTAGTTCGGGTTCACCCACTCAACTTTTTCTTCGAGTGGTTCTGCGTAGACATCCGGCTGACCAACAGTATTATCAAGGGTTTTTCGACAAAGATGGTCCACAATACAAGCCCCATAAGCGTCTCCCAGAATGTTTACAGTTGTCCTAAGTCTGTCTAATAGCCAATCGACAGGTAACAACACCGCTATATCTTTTGCTGGAACATTAATAGAATTGAGAACCATGATCATGGTTATAAGTCCTGCTCCTGGTATACTGGCCGCCCCAATACTAGCGAAAGTAGCAGTTAAGCTAACTATCAATATCGTATCGAATCCAAGAGTAATCCCATTCAATCTTGCAAGAAATAGGGCGGCAACCGCTTCGTACAATGCGGTTCCATCCATATTCACTGTCGCTCCGATGGGTAAAACGAAACGGGTGATCCTCTTATCTATGTGTAAATTTTCTTCGGTGCATTGAAAGGTAAAAGGAAGTGTGGCCGAGCTCGAAGCCGTAGCCAGAGCTGTTATGATCGCCGGAAGCATGGCCTTCATGAATATTAACGGATTTTTCTTCGTGAGTACAAAATATATCAAGGGTAAACTGATGAAAAGATGAATGAATAATCCCATAATCACGGTTAACATATAACTACCCAGATCTTTAGCAGCTTTGCCTAAATTATCTGTCTCTACTATCTTGCTAGCAATTAAACACATTATACCTAGCGGAGAATACCACATCATCAGAATGACGAATTTCATAATCACGTCATTTAAGACGGAAAACAAAGCGATCATAGCCCTTGATTTGTCTCCTAGCGCACAAAGAATGGCACCAAAAAACAGGGAAAACATTATAATCCCCAAAGTGTTCATGTTATCCTCATAACCGATTATCCTTCTATATTTGATCTCTGAACTATTGACACGAGCAATCTCAGCATAACTGGTCTTTTGAGTTTGAAAAGTTGATCGAATTAAATTTTCGGGAACGAGGTTTCTTAATAAATCTAGTACGGAGTCAAGAATAGAGCCTTCTTTTTTATTAGTACCGGTAGTTTCCTTATTTATATTAATTCTATCTTCCACACTTCCGGGGCGAATGGCCATTACCAAAAATATTCCGGTAAAAACTGCTAAAAAAGTTGTCACAATATAATAAATCATTGATCTTATTCCTATAATTCCGGTCATCTTTGGATTCGTTTGAGCAACGGCCGTAATAAGACTTGAAGCTATCAAGGGGAGGACTAGCATTTTTAGCATATTCATGAATAAATCTCCTGGAAATACTAATAGAATCTTACTTTGTTCTGATAAAGAGGCATATTTCAATCCGATTCCCAAGATCGCGCCGACAATAACACTTGATATCGTTAAAATCAGCAATGAGTTTTTCTTGAAATAAAGGTAAATGTTGTTCAACATTACCACTTGCACATTGTCAATAGAAACCGACATAAAAAGCTATTTGGTATTTAATAAATATATTTTTTAAATGTTTCTAGAACTTGTAAAAAAAACTAAAATTAAAATTTTTTTTTTTTTATTAGCTTATAACATAATTTTATTTTAAAATATATTTGTATAATTAAAAATGTTTGAAAAATATATAATAGTACTATTAAAAAAAAAGAACGGAGATGGTGTGACGCAGGGAAACAAAAATGAAAAAGGGACGTAAGCGTTGTCTATGATAGCTCTTTGGCTAGAAGGCTACCATAGAAACTGATATAATTTGCTTTGTGAATCGCTATGGATAATCGTTGACGAAGAAAAAACCCTCTCGGGGTTCTTCTGAGAGTTTGCTGATTTGTGATCCTAATTTTTTGAAAAATGCTAAGGCGAGTTTGCCGAAGGTGCCAAGAGTGTTTGATATGGGGATGAAGCAATGATCGTTTATTATTTCTGTGTATTTAGAAATTTTAAGTTGTTCCTTCTGGTCAAGGATGTTGATGGCGTGGTTGGATGGGGCCAAGGGGTCAATACAGGAATAGTCCCATACCAAAAGTTGGCCTCTCCTAAATGGGATTTGAGAGATCCCATCAGGACGTTTACCGTCAGATCTAAAAAGACCCTGTAGTTCTAACGTGGAAGGAATTTGGGCGGATTTCAGAACATGTTGGATGATTGTATTACATTGCTTGTGTCTGATGAATCGACCATTGCAGGAGCGACAATGTAAACTATGTCTACCCTTCGAGTCAACTGATCATTTCTTTTATTTTCAAGAAAATTTTTTTAGAGGTTTTAAAATGAATTTATATATATATTATCACTTTAGCATCCTAGATTTTTGATATAATATTTGTTTATAAATGCTTTCAAGGCCTCGTTTATAGTAAACGCGTTACCTTCTTTGCGTTATTTAAAACAACGTTATTACAAAATAAAGCCAATAAATAGGTATAAATTTATAAATATGAAACGTTATGATGATAGCGCTATGATAAAATTTGAAAAACATATGTTGGGATGCGTTGATAAAAATTATGCGATATGATTAAAAAATATAATAAAGATTTTGATAAAAAGGTATATGATTATTCCTAAATATTATAAAATAATTCTCTATATTTTAGCTTTATCTTAAATTATTTTTAAAAACTGAATCAGATGTAACAACGCAACGCTTGAAGATTACGCGTTTACTATAAATGCACCGTTACGCCTCTTTCATAGTAGTCGCCTTAAGTGTTGCGTAATTCATTGCAAAACAATAGCATAGCTTTATAATTTAACATCATATTTCGTAAATTACGCATTGTCTGCATCACGGTATTTTCGCCACTTACTATAATTGACTTAAAAGAAATAACGTGTTATAATTAGGCTTAACGGACACCTCCCCCCAATTCCTCTATAGTGGAGGTCCCAAGGATATTTTTTAAATAAGTGGCCCCTAGATCTCTCTCTTTCCACTTCAAAATTTATTAATTTACATATATTCAATTCTCCAAAAAAATCACTTGGATCTTTCTTAAGAAATTATTATAGGGATCCAAATTGAACCTGAATCGTTAAACCAATATTAAGCTTTATTATTTATGGAACCTAAAATTGATGCTATCATATTTGTTACCCGAATTTTGACCTTTAAAAAAGAGTTGTGAACCTGGAACCTTTTGATATTTAAATTGTTTTAAATATTATTATCGGTTAATTATGATTGGCCTATCAGAAATTTTAAATAATTAGTCGGTGACCGACCGCCACAATTTGGCTCATTTAAAGTGTTCACAAGCAAAAAGAGGATCATTTTCCTTTAGAGATAGATATAATTTGATGGAAAAACAATCTTCTTTTATTTGTAACGGCGTTATATTTGTGCGTTAATATTAAAATAAATGTTAGTTGCTACCTATATAAATTTTAAAGAATAAAAATTATATTTAAAAAATAAAAAGCTTCTCTATATATATAATTCTAAAAATTTATATGTAAAAAATTACCAATTAACCGGCTAGCTTTGGCTAAACAGCCTAAAAAGTAAGAATGAAAAAGGCAAGAAAAAAAATATGGAAAATAGCAGAAGCGACCACAAACACTTAAAACAAATCAAAATAAGGTGCCTTAATTCAAAGCTGCTTAACCTAAGTATCAAAAATTAGTCGAACCAGGACACGGCCTAACCGATTTTTAAAGGTTCAACCTGAACCAATATTTGTATCTATGATCCAGAGAGCGCTGTGTTATGGGGAGTATATCTATTATTTTATATAAAATTTATGAGATCATTTTTCTGGGCGTCCATCTTCTATTTGAAGATGGTCGAAGATCAGGCTAAAAGCTACACTGAAATCATTGATGAAAACTTCTGAGTTATTTTTTCGATTAGAGAGAAAAAATCAATAATGCCCATTAAATTGCTTTAGATTCTCATAAATAATATGAGTTTTTAAGTGGCCAATCCACCTTTGATATAAGAGCTGCTAAGGGTATTAATATTAGTGTATTTAACTGGCAATGTCGATATCGATAAAAATTTGGATAATAGGATGTAACTTAGTGTTGATAAAATGCTTAAAACCTGCGATTCCAAGCTCAAATAGGGTTGGGAAAATTTAGCTGACCTATAGCAAGATTGAAAAAACTGACCCAAGCTTATGTAAATGAAATATGACGGGCTTTGTTAATCGGGTCTCAATTTTTGTGAACTCAAATCCGACATGCGTATACCGATAAATCAACCCTTTTGAGTATTGTAACAACACTAATGTAACTTTAGAAATATACAAATACAACAAATAAATAAACTTTAGAAAACTAGTTACATAATAAATTTTAATTAAAAAAAGCATGTTTATATCGGCCATAAAAACCAAACCTAATTTACATTTTTCTTATTTTAAATCAGGTTTAATATTATTACAATTTTATACTTATATAGATTTAAACATATATAAATTGTTTTTTATTATTAAAAAAAGGTACCGAAGAAAAACCGATATAATGGAATTTAAAAAATTTTTTTGATACATTTCCATATTAATTTGTCAAAATTTTCTACTCCGATTTACTCTTTGGGTTGATCGCTCGTTGGGCTCATAGCTACCACGGCATGATTTTTTAATGAAATAAGCGAAAAATCGTGAAGTTGGTCTTTGCTTAAATGCTCAATAATACCGGCTCCAAATGCATCTCCCAGCACATTAGCTGCCGTTCTGAGACTCTCTAAAAGCCAATCGATAGGTAACAACACAGCCATATCACTTACTGGTAGGTTAACCGAGGTGAGGACCATAGTCATTGTGTTAAGTGCCATACCGGGCATACTTGTAGTTCCTACACTGGCAAAAGTAGCGGCTAGGCTAATAATCAAAATGCCATCTACCCCGAGATTCACATCATTCAATCTCGCTATAAATAAGGCGGCTACTGCTTCGTAAAGAGCAATTCCATCCATATTAAATAGGGATCCGATAGGTAAGACGATACGGGTTATTCTTTGGTCTATTCCTAAATTTTTCTCCGCGCATTGAAAGCTGATTGGCAGTGCCACCGAGTTGGAAGCCGTGGCCAACCCCGTGATAAGGGCCAGGAGCATACCCTTCATAAATGGGAATGGATTCTTTCTGGTTATCGTGTAATATATTAGGGGTAAGGTAAAAAATAAATGAATGCTCAGTCCAAGAATAATTGTAAGCATAAATTTGACAAGATGCTTAGTCATCAAATTTAAGTCACTAATCATTACGATTTTGTACGCAATCAGACACATAATGCCCAACGGAGAGAACCACATAATTGTAGTAATCGATTTCATAATTACATCGTTTAGAATGACGAATGCTGAGGTCAAGATCTTGGACCTTTCCCCAAGGGAACTAAGGATTGCCCCGAATACAATAGAAAACACCACAATTCCCAACATGTTCGTGTTGTCAGCATAACCGATTTTTCTAGTATATTTGACATCTGCTGATGACGTTCTTTCAATAAAATAAGCAGTTTTTTGGGATTGGAAGGTAGATCTAATCAAATTTTCGGGTACTAAATTTCTTATCAAATCTAGCACCGCGTCAAAAGTCGTGATAAGCTTTGTAGGTGGTCTCAATTTCGATTCGTTATTTGGTTTGCCAGGATCGATTATCAAAACTAATATCATTCCGGTAAAGACAGCTATAAAAGTTGTAGATATATAATAAATGAAGGTCCTTGTTGCTATTATCCCTAAAACCTTTGGGTCTAACCGAGCCACGCCAATCACTAAACTGGAAACAATCAAGGGTAATAGTATCATTGTTAACATACTCCTAAAAATATCGCCTGGAAACTGCAACAACTTCTGACCCGCCTCCGATAAAGAAGCTTGTCTCAACGAAAACCCCAATATTATTCCCGCGACAACGCTACTAATTGTCAAGACCATCAATAAATTAGCTTTGAAATATTTGAAAACGGGACCGTAAATTTTAGTTTGCATGATTTTAACGTGATCAAATGAAGGCATGAAATATTATTTTATAAATAATTTTACGATAATAAAAAAAAAAATTTTTAAAAAAAGAGTTTTCTATAAACAATTAACGAAATATGAAAACAGTTAATAATCATAATTACTTTAAACTAAAAAATATTTTCTCTAAGAATTTATTCACAGTATCTTACAGATTGCAATGCTTATTTATCAATAGCCTAAAAAGAATATTTAAGGGCCCGATCGAAGAAGGGGGGGGGGGGTATATTTAGGTCTGGTCCAGATTTATTTATTGTGGATTACATGACCCCGGCGCGTAAATTAATTCATGATTTAGTTATTTTGAATAATTCTGGCCTTTAACCTTGTAAATTGTTTCAAAGGAAAAAATTGAAAATAAACCCTATTATGTATTTTTTTTCAACCGATTAAAAATAGATATAATTTAACACGTGTTTCTATTTTATATAGGATCATGGCCGAATTTTCTATATAATATTTAGAGGGGAGAGGGGTTTGAATCGATTTTATTTTTATAAATAATGTACCTCCTTTTGGTCCTAGACTAAGGGGTATGTTGGTCTAATGACTCTTTATAAAACGCTACGTACCTTTAAAAAAAAATTTGGATTAGAGTCAAAAATATACTTTTATAATTGTTTAAAAATCCTTGTTCATATTTGTCCATTGATTCGTTTTCGTGACTCCTATTTATCGCTTATGGCGGGAGGTATCCTTATTAGTCAATATCACACGCGTAGAAGATTGGCCAAATTTTCAACAAAAAAATAATTTGGAATATAAATACAAATATTTTTTTAAAAAAATATAAATACTTATTTATTAGTTATGGTTACAAAACGTTTTTTCAAAGCGGTTTCCTTAAAAATTTTTTGGTTTTTGTAAACGGTTAAATGGCGCTTGAGATACACGAATAACAAATTAATTTGACGAATTAATTACTATCCCTGGTTTTTAAATAAATAAATAAAAAATTACTAGAAAAATTGAAACCGCTTTAAAAAAAACGTTCTGTCTGGGAATGGTCCACAAAACGTTTTCCGGAAAAATAATTACATTTTATCACAATACCTTTGATGATAGATTTTTTATTGTACTAGTACTGCTAGTAGAGGTCAACGATCTCTTTGAACGGAACGGAGATGGTTTGGTTAGGTAGACCGATAGAAAAATTATAAATCATCTTTCTCGTGATTATCAAATATGATCAAAATTTGAAAGCAGGTGACTTGGTAATTGAGAAGAGAAATAGATTATAGGGTAAAATGATACCATCTATTATGTATTACTCATAGCTCAAAAGTTGAAAATGCAAGGCCATGTTTTTTCAATTGAAAGCAAGGATTCAATCCTAATTGGTGTTGAGTAATCGGCTAATTTTAACCGACCCCATAAATGCACAGCTGAGTTTTTAGATGAAATCGAAGTCAAAAATTAGGCATCGGCTAAGGAGCTAGCCTAATTGTCCGTCAGCGTTATTGTAACTTTATGTATATAAATATTTTCAATAAATAAAAATGAATATTAAATAATTAAAGCTAGGCCTAGTTATGCGCAACGCTGACAAACAATTAGCCTATCTTCGCTGATATCTTATTAGGCTTCGTCGGTTTTTCTGCTAAGCCTAATTAGGTTTAGACGGAGGCTTTTAGCCTATCACGGAGTATTCTTTTATATCTAGGTATAAATAATAAAGAAAATATTTATAATAATAAAAAACCAGTTAATTAAAAATAATAACTAAAAATCTTTTATTCGAAATCTATGATTAACACTTATTACGCATATATTGTTTAGATACGGTTGTAGTACCATTATTTTTTCATTTACAATCAAATTATATTATTAATTTCACCCCAAATAATAAGAAGTTTATGGTAGATTATTTTTTGAGCGGATAAAAATTCAACAGTATGGTTATAAAATTAAGAATTTCTTCGACTGGGTTTAAATCAGTTCGTATAATTTAAGAAACCATTTTTTCCCTACTTAACAAAATATTTAAATTTTTGTTTATAACCACTAACATTTTTTTAGCGTTATCAAAATTATGATATATTTTTTTACTCTATTATCTGCAACGAGAAAAAGATTTTAAAATATCTAACGAGCTAAAACATCTAAGGTAAAATATTTTACAAATTATTCAACTAAATTGCAATTGCTTTTAAGTGAAAGTATAAATTTTTTAGCTACACTTAGTAATTTCACTACTTATTTTGGTATTAAATAAAAAATAATCCTCAATTTTAAAATAAAGAAGATAGTTTTAAAGTTATTAGATATTAATTGATTTCATATTTGCTGAAAAATGAATCGTAGATTGCTTTTTAAAATAAAATTTAATAAATTATTCGGGCCGGGCTTTAAAGTTTTTTTAAAATAAACCCGAGCCAGGCCAGCCTATAAATTTTAAAAGGGGCTGGGATAAAAATTTAATGCCCGTTTTAAAATAAATAATCCTATCCATGCGGATATTTTGATATCCGGGCAGGCCCGAACTGTATAAATAAATAATATCGCATTATTTAATAATTCAAAAAACATATATTACTTTGTTTTAAAAAAATATTTTAAAATTATGTTTTCACTATATATATTTTTTTACTAGTCATGAAAAATAGATGCATATCATATGACACCATATTTTTACATTGGTGGTGGCGGCATGATGAGCGTCGACATTTTTTAGCAACATTGGATTTGTGCGTGCGCTGGCGTCTAGATATGTATTAAATTTTTAACAAATCAAGATAAAAAAAATTTTTCATAATTCAAATCTACTTTTTTTTAAAACTTTAATAAAATATAGTATATAAATCAAAAGTAGAATATTAAATTATTTTTTTTTAAATAATCTTTACAGATTTGATATTTTCTGATATTACTAAAGAAACCGATCCAATATTTATATTGATTTTTATTTACCATCTAATCTTTGAAACAAATTCATAAAAATATCAATATTTTCTATCTTTAAAAATAACCAACTTTCGCGATTTAAGTGTTTGTTTTTTTATTCTCCAAAAGTTAATCTCATTTAAAATATATACAATTTTATGGGAGAATGTGGTAAATCAAGATTTTAGCTAAAATATCATTATCTAAGCCTTAAATGCCAATAGATGTCCAAATCTTACTACCATAATCTTGAATTAACCGTTTTTAAATTGGCTAAATCGAGCCGTTTAACAACACTAACTGAATGAGACTCGTTAGGATTTTTAACTATTTTTTTAAATATCACATCAAATAAATTGTATTTTAGTTCCTCTCATTAATTTATTATTATGAAATTATTAACCATGCTGAGAATCATTTGATGGATCTTAAAAATTCATTTAAAATTTTTAAATGTCTATAACTAGGCCTTAAACGAATTATTTGTTAGTCGATTGGTATTCGAATATGAATAGCTAAAATTATTATATTCGATTCGCTTTATATAGGCCTACTTATAACTAAAAATTATTTTAAAATTTTAAAAACATGGATTAGCATTAGGAGGTTAAAATAAAAAATCCAGGGCTGGATTAAAACAAATATTTTGTTTTTTTTTAAAAATCCTAGACAGGCTCAAACAGGGGTGGACTGGCCATAAGAAAATCGGGCATTTTACCCACGAGGCCTAGAGTGTGGATTTTTGAGGCCGATCAGAGGAAAATATCAAAATAGAGGCCGATTAGAAAAAAAATATTATTATGTTCACATTATTTTCTCTTATCATTTATTTATTTTTAATGATATCTCTATGATTTGAATATCACATTCCTTGAGAATTGTCAGGTCGTTTACTATATTTTGATGCATAATATATCAATAACGTAGCTTAAAACAGTTTGTCGGAACGGCTTTACGCGAATTGAGAGCTTATCTTGAAAGTGCAATATTTGCATCCAAGACTTTTGATGAAATAAATATTAAAGGAATTTCTGAAAAGGCCTTGGAAAAATGGCATATATATTAGTGATCTGCATCGGGCCTAATTTTTCAAACCCGGCCAGGCCCGAAATTTTTTTAAAAAGTTTTGCCGGCCCGGCCCGAACCCGAAATTTATTTTAAAAAACGGGCCCGGCCAGGCCCGAATTTATTTAAATATAGAAATCAATTTTTATAATTACTTAAAATAAAAGACATATGTTGTATAGCGTTTAGTTTCAATAAATTAAATCAAAAATTTTTATTTTACATAAAAAATTCAATAAAATTGATAAATTTAGATATATTTAATAAAATTTCCAAAATCCGACCTGACCTGGCCCGAAATTTTTTTAAAAATATTAGGTCCGGCCCGGCCCGAACCCATTTATTTTAAATAAAATTAGGACTTTGCAGACCTCTAATATATATTGAGGGTTAAATTTCATAACGAATTATGTTCATTTGCCAATGTATTCAAAAATTTGGTAGCAGAATCAAATTAACGGACGATAATATCAATTGTGAGAAAGCATCTAGTAGATTAAAAATTATAAAAATAAGCTGAGAGCTAATATTGATCAAGAAAAAATAGAATCGTTTTTAATGATGTCTGTTTTACGAGAATTATTATCGCAGATTGAACTAGAAAATATTCCTGTAGTGCAAAGGTTTAAAGTTATTAAGAGATTTATTAAAGTAAAAATTATTTATTTTCTTAATTCTTTTGATTCTTATTAATATTATTTACAATATTATCGGTGCCTGATTTTATAAAAGTGCAGCAATTTTATTCTCTGTAATATTGTAAAACTGCAATAATTTTATATTTATAATTAATTGATTTAATATATTGAGTATGTATTTTTTTTATATTCATGTGATGTATGTATGATTTGATTTTATAGTGCAATAGCATCTAATATAAAATATATATGTGCAATGAATATTATTTTATATAGGTAATGAATATGAATTTAGATGTGAATTTTTTTTAAATAAAATATATGATTATCGTAATTCTTTTTTTTTTACTAAAAATGTAAATCGTTTGAACTTATTTTCAAAAGATAAGAAGTAATAAAATCATGTTAATAAAAGAAGCCGCAAAATGGGGGTATGGGGTCGAAGCCACCATATAAATGAGGCTGTTATAAAAAATGCCCACGAGGCCGTAGTATTGCCAGTTCGCCCCTGGGCTCAAAATGGAAAAACGAAATTAAATCAGGTAAACAAGGTTGGGAAAATTTTCTTTGAATAATAATGCAAATACTTTATGGAAATAGATTTTTACAGTATATCACCATACTATGTCACTGACAATTTTTATTCACATAGTTTATATAATTAATATTGAATAAGGACACAAGTTATAAGGCTGTGGTCCATCTTAATCCTAAATGTCATCTGTATAGCCATCTATACCACTTCCTCTAAACAGATTGGAAAGAAGAGGATATTTAGATCATGTTAATATTTATTTACCAATCTTAAAACTATCCAAAATAGGATGTCCTAGCTCAAAATTTGTTTAGTCTAACTTTCAAAAATAAGATGAACAAGGACATGGCATAAATCATATATTAATCATAGTATAAAAAATAAAATCTAATAATTATGTAGCAAAAAGATAGTTATTTTATATCTGCATATTCATAGCATTGCAAACATCATGGAGTATTTAACTTGAAGGAAAAGTGTTCCATATATCATTTTTTATTTTTAATTGGGTGGCAGATTTCATTGAAAATATTTTTGGTCTACTATATTTAAATAACATGTAAATGATATTCCAGATATCAGCTAAAAAATATTTTATAGATTTTGCCCATAGATCACAGAAAGGTTTGGACATATAAACGATATCCCAATGCTTGCATAATACTTATGCTTAAAATATTGGGTTGGCTTAAAAAAGCTATTTAACAACACTACTCATTTAATAAAATAGTAGGAAACAGAAATATCTTAATTTTTTTTCCCTTTACCCCAAACAGAAAGTTAAGATAATTAAGGATTTTAAATTCCTTATTATAATTAATTTACAAACAAATACTCTATATATTATTTAAATTTAAATAAAATACAATTCAAAAAAGGTAAGTGAATTAAATATTTTAAATACGAATATTCACAATACTGCCCAACCTAGTTTGGGTTTCAGGCATAAAATAATAATATTTTACAACATAAATTATCCATTATAATGGCTTTCATCAATTAATAGTAAAATAATAAAATGTACAAAAACTGCATCTATATAATTATTTATATCCAGTATATTTTTATCTAATTTATAACAAGCATCACTATATATATGTGTTCAAGTAATATTATTAAATAAAAATACAATTCAATTAATAATCATTAATCACTGATATCTTATGTAAAGGAAAAACATAAATTTAATGTTTTTTGATAAACTCTTTATCAACCTCGGCATAAATTGAAGGATCTTTTCTAATATTTTCTTCATATTTTCGTTTTGACCAGTCAATTAAAGCAAATGATATTATATAAGCTAAAATTATGTTTTAATTTTATGGATAAAATTATAGTTTACGGAGAAAATAAATTGAATTTCTAACAAGCATAGATCCAAATCTTGGAAGGCCTTTGGTAATATATCCAGCAAAGGCTCTTTGTTCATATGGGGATATGGAATAAGTTATTACACCTCTGACCCTGGCGATATCACCAAATGTTTTACCCATTTTATTTTTATTGGATTGATATTAGTATTTTACGTGATACGTGATAAAGAACGTTTTCGCACTCTGGTTGTGGATACAACAGAACTACGCTAGGTTTTTCTCAAATCCATCAAACTGGATATTTAAATAAAAGAGAGAAAAAATGTGGAGCCTTTTGCACGTTTGTCGGCTCTAGGACTTTTGCTTAAACGTCTTTGGGTGATTAAAATGGAATGTCCAAAATAAATATCCCACAACCACACACATGAATTGCATATATATTTAATTTTAAAGGCGAGGCAAGGACCGATTTTAATTTTAAAGTACATTGTATCTATGAGTATGATAAGTTAAAATGAAAATAAATAAAGGGCCCAGTGAAATATGAGTCAGAGAATAAATGAAATAAATAAAAATATTAATAAAATGTATCAATGTTTTAGTTTTTGGTAAAATCTTTATTGACCTTTTGTTTTTCTTCAACTTCAAGATCTGTTTCATATTTAAGTTTAAATCTATTATGTCTATCAAAGCTCTGTAGAACCATGATGTCTTATGCTTGCGATATGTTTTCCCATTAAAGGAGTGTAACTAATTAATGGCATTGATAACTAGACTATGGTTTCTCAAAATATGGGCAAAGAAAGTAAGGCGCTTCTTTTTTAATGTTACGTGTCTTTGATTATGGTTTGACTTCCTTCAAAGGTTTTCATTCGAGATAATATTAAGTAAGAAGCAATGACATATAATAATATCATTGGTAAGAAGATGCCGTTTATTATTCTTAGACATTTATTTACCAACATCTGTAATTTTTTGGTCTCATCTCCCATATGCCTATAGAGGGGAATTGAAATGATGGTTGAATTGAAAATTAGTCTAGTAAAAACAAATATCTTTCTAGCTTTTCACAGTTTGAAAAATTTCTAAAAAGAAAAAGGTCATTGGGCGAGAGATTGCGGGAATGACTACATGGTTGTGAGAAAAAAAAAGCCGAGGAGTAGAAAACGGAGAGGAAGATAATGGTGGGGAAGATTTTGCGGGAAGATATTAAAGAGGAACAAGTATATCTTAAAAGTCCGAAAGTGCGTTAATATAAATACGAAGATGATATCTATATTGTTTGATACAGTCACGGCTACTTCGGTGATGGGATATGAAGATTTCAGGAGACTCTTGTCGAATAGTGTAAAAATGATAGAGTAAATTCTAGTGAGATAGTTTGATTGATCTGAAATGGACATGATGGGAAAAGTGCAGATAGGCGATATAGGGAGTGAAGGATGCCTTATTAGCAAGGACGTGGAACCATTAGCTAAATTACCAGAAGCATCAAAACCAGATGCATCAAACGCCCAAACAGAAGCCTCAAATTCCCCAGCACGCAAGAGGTCCCGGAGTCGAAAACGTGGATGGAAAGAGAAACGTGAAGGGAAGCGAAGGATTTAAACCTGTGTTATAGATGTGGAAAGGCCGGTCATATACGAAGATGGTCTCCAATGGAACGGTATGGAGGATCTCCAGGAACAGAGTGTGTGAAGGAAAAAAAAGAAGAGAGTCCGATAATCGCAACCATTGTCCACAGATTTACCAGTGTTAAGGGTAAGTAGGAGAATATATACAACAATTGTAGTCGCCGAAGGCGGGAAAAAAGGGAAGTGTCATTAATAAAAAATTTTTGGTAAAGTCATGATGATTTCGTTTTGGGAGTTATTTTTTTTTAATTTTATTTTTATCGCGTTAATTTTATATTTTTCGATTTGTAAAAATTATTTTTGGTTAAGTCATTATATTTTACAATTTTTGAGTTATTTTTAGTGTAATATTTTTAATTATAATTATGATTCGGGTATTTATAATTTTTAAGAAATATATTTTAGTTTGAAATTATTTTTGGTAAATCATAGCTTCCCTATAAAAGTGAAGCTAAATTTTAATAAATTTATTCATTATTTTTTATTATAAAATTTGTAAAAATTAGATTTTTTATGTTTTAAAAATTAAAAATCTAAAATAAAAGGTTTGTACATAGTAATGTTGAAATTTATTTTCTGGGAGTAATATTCACATAGAAGCGACACAACTTGATATATAGTTTTAAAAATAATTTTAAAAAAATTAATTACTTGCTCAAAAATTTGAATACTTCTTGCATAAATATTAATTTTTAAAATAGAATTTATAAATAATTATAATTTATTAATTTACATATCGTTTGGTATTGTAGTTCAAACATATTTAATTTTAAAAAGTTGCATTATATCCAAACGATTAATCTAAATAATAAATTTGTTTTTTAGTTACCGATTGAAATATATTAGCTGCCAAGTCAATATTTTAATTTCTCTCGATTCAAACTTTAGGGGTTTTGAACGTAAATTTATCTCATTTACCTTTTAAATATTTTTTAATTTTCTAAAGAGTGGACTCAAATCCTATGAATTGCTATGCGGCCTTACATATGCACATTAAAATCATCCATATAAATGATATAGCAATTATTCTAACACCCTTTTAAATTATTCTTTGAAAATTTAAAAAATATAGGTACCTTAAAAAATATTTTTAATCATTAATAACAAATTAAAAATCTTATAAAAATTTTAAAAATTTCATGAGTCAAATATTAATTATTCATGTTATTTTAGCCAAATTAAGCTACTAAAATATTCAGAACTTCCTAGTTACAGGATTTTAGGTAATAACCTTTTTAATCCTCTAGGAATGTATTAACTCCATAATATATCATATTCAAGAGAGAATAATTTATAAAATATATTTTATTCGGAAACTATATATTCGATAAAATTATACATATTCAAATTATCAGCTGTTTTTTGAATTTTGTAAATATAAGATAATTTCAGTATTTGCATGCTTTTAGATATCTATATTAATTATTAATTAATTTCCCGCATGGATATACCTGTGCCAGAATGCATTACAAGGAGTTTTATATTTGAGTATGAAGAAATATTGGAAGAAAATGGAATCAAAAAGGTAATTTTACCCATCTGTATACCCAATGAAATAGATTATGATGAGCTAATTGGTCAATATATCACTGAATATAATATTCCTCCTTATGAAGAAGAAAGTATGCACATATTATTATTGCTTTTATATAAATTAAAAAATTTTATAAGGTTTTCATAAGAAACTAATTGAATTTATAAAGCTAGAATCTATCAACCATTACAAGTTTGTAACAAATACCTATGTCAATGCATTTTTGAATAGTAATGATGATATAGTATCAAAAATAGCTGACCACTGGGCTAGTTTTTTTGAAGTTTTTTTTTTACTGACTAACTTTTAATTTAAAAGATATTTAGAATGAGCCAAAATTTTCTGAATCTACAGGAGATCTTAGTAAAAATCTTAAAGATAGATTTAATGAGATGTCAGATGAAGAAATTTTTGCAGAAGCTTATACCCATTTAATTATGACACAATATTTAGAAACAATGTTACAATTGGAAGATGAACATTTAATTCATATTAGAGATTTACTTAAACAAAGAGATCAAGATATTATAAACCTCAACAAAAAGTATATAAATGTTAAATTCCTGTAAATATTTTTTAGCCTGAGGCCCAGTAGCAAAGAAATTTTAAATATAAGTTAAGCTCAACCCAACTTTAAAATTTAAAAAAAACCAAACTAAATGCAATTATTTTATTCTCTATATTATAATTAAATTATGTATTTGACAATAACTTTGACAATTTAATGTTTAACCATTTAAATATATTATGAATCTGAAATATTTTGTGCTCAATTTTATTTTTTTAATTTTTAAATTCATATATTTGATCAGGCAAAAAAAGGTAGAATGTAAAGAAATATAACATTAATATTCTTGGATCATGGGTTGAGCTGGTTATATTTTATTGATGTTTATCAGGTGGGGCCAGCTTTGCTGAACTATAATTGATGTCTATAATATAAATTAGGACTTTATTGATCCACAAATTTTTTCCTGATCCAATGTTTACATTGTATTTTATTCTTTAACAGAGTTGTTAAGAGATACTTTTTTTTAATATATTATCTCTTATTATTTTAAACTATTTCTTTTTTTATCCCTCTTTTGTTTTGCCTTAATTACATATAAATTAAAAATAGTTTTTTTTATATCTCTTTTGTTTCACCTTTAAATACATAAAAATTGAATATCGTTTTATTTTAAGTCCATCTTTTGTTTGATTTAATTATGTACATTAAAAGTAAAACATATGGTTTAATCAAGGGTTTCTCATACTTTTGGATTCCTTAGTAAGGTGTTCATTGATTATAAATTAGATAGTTGGGTCCCGGAGATCATACTTTATTCCGAGGTATAAGTAGAGTTCCGAAAAGTATAGGGGGGTTGGTTTTATCCCCAGTTATATATGATAAAACTAACACCACTCTTCGCAAAAACGTTCTCTTTTTTCACTTTGCGCCAATTTTAATTCTTATTTAAAAGCAGCATTTATTTTTAAAAAATTTTTTTTACATTAAGCTTATAATTTATTCATTATGGCGGAATATCTATAAATTTTTTTGCTTAATAATATTTTTGCATCAATGTTAAGCTTGGATTTATATATTTCTTTACATGAGAAAATTATCATTCACATTCTTGAACTGATATCTATACAGGCGCATAGCCATAAACATTCTACGGGGGAGGGGGGGGGGGTAATTTTTTAATATTAATATCGATTTTTTGGAGCATTAAAATTTTATTAGAAATAATCATCATATAGATTTTATAAGAACCAATAATATTTGAAAATTCAAAATATTAAGAGCGAATATAATACGCTTAAAAAATATTATAGCTAATATAAGATTAAACATTTTTTTAGTGATTTAAAAATTTAATCAAAATATCAATTTCATCTTCTTCGCAATCGCGCCAATTTATTTAATAATTTGTTCTGTGTAGGGTTGTCAACTATAAAATAGCTTAGCCATATTTTTATCTATAAATATTCTAATCAATCTTCTAGTTGAGGCTCAACGTAGAAGCTTAATTCAATTTTGTAGTCTAAAAACATGACTAAGACTAAATAGAGATGATCAAAGTTCGGTAATTTAACTAGGGGATTAGATCTCGATAAGTAAAGCCTGTCTATTCAATCAATTTTAAGATGCTGTACTTTTGATATAGGTATTTATTTTCTGTATTGAAGAAAGGTTATCTCATTTGTGCTTGTACTAATTAGTGTCATTCTCGAAATATTCAGTAATTTTAATATATTTGGAAAATTTATAAAATATATTTTAAACTATGCAATGCTTCCACTTTTTTGGAGGAATATATAAAAAAATGAATCTTTCGTATCATTTAAATTCTGAAATTAATTGTCCTTCAGATACATTTGTATCTTATAAATAAAATTTAGCTAAATATTTAATTTTTCAATATCAAGATTTGATATATCTTCAGGTCAGATAGCGTTATAAGATATACTATTTGTAAATTGGATATTGTCATTTGATAAATCACAAATCGATCATTGATTTGAGTCAAAATTAAATCTAAAAGTGGAATAAAAACGGTTATTTTATAGTAATCCTCAATTTAGTCCACGTTAATATTTGAACAATTTGTTTGTCGGTGAAAATTGAGGCCTATGAATCTCAAAATATTTTGCTTTCACCTAAACAATCACATAAATCTTGAGAAATTTTTGGTATCTCTTGGTTTTCTAAGTTTTAATATAATAATATTCGCGATTCTCATAATTTCAGCCAAATCCATTTTTTTTTAAAAATATTGCACATGTTGTTATAAATAAATTGATACATTCTAATGAAAAAAAATGTTCAGTATCTAAAATTTAAAAATATTTAATAATTATAAAAAGCCAAAAACAATAAAAATATTTATATCAATTCAGGATTATTTTGCATTTTCTTAAAATATGAATCTGATATTTTTAAATCGTACATATTAGTGCCACCACAATCCGTTATTTAATATCGATAGGCCTGCAATTGGCAGGTTTTTAACAAAAAAAGCCGACCCACTCATTGTTTTGAAATTTTTTAACCCCCCCCCCTCCCCGCTCATTTTAGATTTTTTATAAAAATTTATCCACCCACCCGCTTAAAGTTTAACTGATTTGACTCTTTATTTATTTTTGAAATGTACACCTGCCCATTGTTGAAAATATTTTAGAAAATTCGACTGCGCCCGCCCGAAATATCGGCAGGCGTAGGCGGATCGAATAAAAACTCGCCCATACCAGACCTCTAATCGATACAGCCTTCTTATATAGTTGTTAAATAGAAAGTTAACCAGAGTTATAAATAATTGTCCCATATATTTTTTATTTAAGGAATAAACTTGAAATGGAAGATGCATTAAATTCTAATATCAATAAATTGGTCAGTTCTTTGGCCAATTCTCATTCGGACGAAATGCATTTGTCTCAATCTAGTTGGGATAGTAAACTTACCTGTGTCAAGGCGGTTCAAAGGAAAGAGTTAAGGGAATGGGTCATGAAAGTTTACGAAGATGATATATTACTCAAAAAGCATGATAATGACAGTGTTAGTAATGACGCAAATGGTAGGATTATGAAAATTGATAAAGATGCTAAAAATAAAGACACTTTAATATTAAATTCCTGTAAATCTGATGAGCAGATTGATAATAATCTTTTTAAAATTACGGGTGATATATCGGATGTCATTAAAAATATAAATATCGACGATGATACCCATGATTCGTGCAGGGTATTTCAGGAAGAAAGCTTCAGCGTTCATCTGGGATGTCAGCTCAAATCTATGTACAATTTGAGACTTCTCAAATGTAATTACTTGCCTCATTTTTGCGATTTCCAAAACAATTCAAGAACTGCCAAATCATACAGTCCAGACCCCGTAAAACTACAAACATTACTTACTCTCTATACCGACAAACTGAACGCTATCATATTAATCGAAGACGGCCGTTTGAACCCGACTGTTCCAGGAATGCTCAATGGTATCCATTTTTTTATTATTTAAATAGATATTTACTTCTATTTTATTTTTTTAGAGGCCATCTTGGATAAATTCCTTGACGAAACAAAGATTTTTTTTAGTAGGAAGTGTCCGGTGCTTAGAAAAAAAAACAATTAGCAGCAGCCGCTGAAACAATAACAACTTTTTTGTTAAATCTCGGTATTTTTATTGTGCTAATTAAATAATGGGACTTTAAAAATAAATTCTTAAATATCGCGGAATTTAATTGCATAGAGTGAAAAATCGATTCTACTTGCTTCTAAAATGCGACCGACGTATTTTTTTTCACTGCTTGCAAAAGAAGCCAATAACGGCAAATATTTTTATTTGATTACTTGTTTCCATTGGGCTCCACTTCCTTTTTGAAATTTAATTTTAAACAAGTTCTCTTTGGTCCAGGCTAACGTGGGCTATAGCTGGACAGGCATCGCTATAGTAAGCGGTGCAACCAATGCTAGAGCTCTCCAATTCACCCAGGCCAAACTCTAGCCTAAAATTTTTTAAATATTTTGGACCAGGTTCGGGCCTGAAAAAATATTTAAAAATATGTCTTTTGTTTTATCGACATAATAAAAATTCAAATTGGACAAAGCAATTATTAATTTTTTTTTAAACTTTATATAAATAAGTTTAATTAATTTTTTTTGACTTGAAAATTTCGGTCCGGGTGCTGGTCTAAAATATAAATACGAACGGGGCTCGAGTCTAATAATTTTAAAATATTTAAATCCGCTTTTAAGAATTAAATAAAAATTCCGCAAATAAGATTTAATTTGCAATTGGCTGACGAAATATGAATAACAAATCTTTGTTCATAATATTTAGTAATTATATCAGAGACTGCAGGCCCGGCCCGGGTACCAGGGCCGAGCCGTACTTTAAATTTTTAAAATATACCCGGGCCGGGCCTGAATTTTTTTTTAAATACCCTGGCCGGGCCGTATTTTTTTAAAAAATTTATACAACATGAATTATTATATTCGTCAATTAGATATGGTTATAATGATTATATATAGTTATGATTAATATAATGTTTGGTGAAAGTTAACACTAGCTAACACTCATAGTATCTATTACATAATAAAATTATAGTTTTCCTGCCATGGAATAAATACGCAAAGGATTAAATACATTATTATATAATATTACTTGCTTATTAAATGATAATACTCGCCGAAAAATATGATAAAATACGTAATAATAAATTTTTTGTATATACCAGGTCGAATATAATTTTAAAAAATATCCAGGCCGGGCCGGGCTTAAAATTTTTAAACCCGGGCCGAGCCGTAAAAAATTTTTGAAAAAATCCGGGCCGGGCCGAAAATTTTTTAATATGGTACCTCTGCAGGTCTCTGAATTATGTATTATTCTTTCCACTCTTCTTAACTTCTCAGGGCAGACATTGTGACGTAAAATTATTGTGATTCCCTTATTAGCCTTTTATAATACGAGTCTCGAATATATTATACTTTACATTTTTTTATCCCTTATTCTTATATTTTTTCGGAGCCAGAATTAGCAAAAATATGCGAAAAATCGACAGAATATCATTTTCCCGATTTGGATCATCAATTAGATAACGTGAGACGTATATGCTCATCATCCTCCGATGTCAATGCTATCGCTAATAACGATAATTTTTCCTCTCGTATTATGAAAGTAGAAGTTAGTGGAGACATTAAATCAACCGAACGTATTGCCGCAGATCCTGATGTAATCAATTTTATTTTAACTTAATTAACGCCTACTTTCTATTATAACAATGGCTGACTTTCCATATTAAATTATACGTATAGCAAATTCTTGAAACTGGGGACGTGTACATAACTCGGCATTCCAACTTATCCCGGACCCATGTGGTTTTTCACTTGTGCGTTAACGAGATGGATGAATGGAACTGGTTAGGGTCCGGTATGGATACCAGTGTTAGGCAGCATTTCCAACTTTTCGAAGGTCTCAGGAACATAGTTAAAACTTGTTTCAGTCTTTACGACGTTCAATCGTTGACCATACCCTTACTGTTGGGCAACCAATTAAACGAGGTTATTTACTCTTTTTTTTGAAGAAATAAAGTTTTAAATTTCGAATTTATAATTAGGCCATATAAATTAGTATTTTAAATCATTATAGAGTATGGTAGACAAATGACTTCCCATTTTATATCTTATGGTCCAAGAATGTTAAAGATATTTTTGAAGTATATTACACTCATTTTAGGTTAGGAAATAGTTTATTTTAATTTTTTTGCAGATGATCAACCCTGTAACCAGAAATTTTTGCTAAGAGTTAGTAAAAAGGGGCAATTATTTTTTTAGTTTATAACCTAGGTTGCTTGTATAAACTCGTTATATAGTATCTGCGATATTCGCTCATATCTTAACTATAATTTAATTGCATAAAACCAATATTTTGGTGATAGGAAATGACCCTGAATTGGTGCCTTAAAAGGGCAGAGCTAGTTTTTAAATGCGTCAAGGGTTACGTGATAGAGAGTCAAAGCTTTTCGTCTAGCCCCTTATATCAGCCCCATATTATTACATCGTCGACCGTGGACTCGAGTGTATCGCATAACAAATGTAAAATCGTACAATTTCAATTGCCGGCTCAAATGAGTGAGACAGCCTTCGATAATATATGTAACACCTTACCCAATATATTCAGACTCCCAACACCCATCGTTAGGTGATTCGTACTATGAAAATTAAAACAGTGGTGATGAAAGTTCTGATAATATCCCAAGCATAATCTTTATTTATAATTCCGTCTATTTATATTTATAATATAATAATTAGACCATTTGTTTAAGAAAACTAAATAATTTGAGTTAAAAGTCATGATTTAACTTAAAACTACGTTTAATATATTTTGTACCCTTTTTTTCCAATGGTATCTTATAAAATTATATTTTAAGTAAAATTAAACTAAAAATATGCATAGAATTATTTTTTATCTTTCTTTCTATCCCCATAAACCTCATACCATGGAAGGCTAAGGAAATTTCAATTAGTAAATTACCAACATTTCAAAAATAAATTTAATTATTATTTTTTTTGATAAATGCATTATTATAGAACAATCAACGAATATAAATTATAATAAAAATTCGCATTTTTTATAAACAATTTATCATTCTTGATTTATGTTTTGTTTCCCATGCGTATACATAGTATTTGAGTTGCCTTCGATTATAATCGTAGCGGTAGCCGTTATTTTCGTGATATGATGATGACCTGGACTCATGTTTATATTATCCAATCTACTCTTCTTGGTAAATTCTCTTTCGACGTTTTCACTTTCGATAAAATCTTTCTGTGGCGTGTTACGATTTATTATCACGGTATTGTTTTTGCCATCAATGTCATTCATATTGGGTATATGAATATATATATTGGGCTCGACCGTAATACTCTCTTTGGAATTCGTTGAGAAGTTCTCTTCTAATAAAAATTAAAAATTCTTTTATTAAAATGAGGATCAACAACATATTTTTTTGCCAATAAAATATTCTTCAACAAATCTTTTTTTTTAAAAAACACTCTAATTGGCAGTTACGAAATTAATGTTTTAAAAACGATCCGTTATAATAAAATATTTCCCTATCTACAAAAAGACAATTCTCCAAAAAAAACATAGAAAATAATTTAAAACTTTTCGGCAATCTACTTTATTTTTTTTAACTTGATGTTATCAAAAGGACCTGGTGGTGTATGCTAGGTTTAGTATTATATTACACTACTGGTATAAAAAAAATTTTAGTTTAATTTTATCAAAAGGAGAAGGTGTATATGCTAAGTTTAGTATTATATCACACTATTAGATTTATTTAAAAAATGCAGAATTTTTTTCCTGAAAACTCACCTCATTTTTTTATCTTTCCAAATTATATTTTTTCACTTGACCCGAATTTGAAAAAAAAAATCATTTTTAAGCCCCGGGTTTTATTTTTTTTTAAATTCATTAATATGAATAATTTAATATTTTTGGTTAAACAAAAGGGAAATTGAATAATATGAGCTGTAAATGAGTATTAAATGCTCCATTATATGCTTTTCCAAATGATTAATTGAAAATTTGTTTAAAAAAAAAGGCCTGGCCAGGTTTGGTTAGGTAAAAAAATTAAATCTAGCCTAGCCCAAATTTTTATAGCCTTTGGTCTCTGGGCCTGTAGGGTCTCTAAACTTATACTAAAATAATTTTGTGTATATGGTGAATTTCATATCAAATCAACGAATGTTTCAACCCGACCCCCTCAGATTTTATTTAAATTTTGTATATTGGTAGTACAACTAAGAAAAAAAATGAAATTTTACTTTCTTACACTACTCCCTCGCTAAGATATGGGGGTTTAAAGAGCGGGATGGTACATTTTAGGCAAAATGCAGTTCATTAACTTTCAAATATCTCGAGAATAAATTAAGTTAGGGCAATATTTGTGAACCCGAATTAGGGTCCATAACCTAACATAATATTTTAAGAACCCATTTTGTTTTATATGATCACCTGATATAGTTGATAACGAGTTATCAGAAATGGAGAACAAGTATTTGTTATTGCGATGACCCTTTCTTTTACTCCTGCCATAATTTTTGCTAATATAACGAGAAATATCGACCTTTTCTGTATTATATCTACAATTATCTACCATTAATCGTTTCATTTCTTGATTCCTACCGAATTGTAGGTTATTTTGTGTAGCGGGCGGCGAATTGGCGTTATAATTATTTTCGACGGTAGAAGTATTTTTATCTATGGGTGGCATGATGAAGTGATATGATTCACGTGAAAGCACGATCTGTTATTATATGAACATAATAATTTACAAAATTTATCATTTAAATTAGCTTCGAAACAACTTGAACCGTATTTTATAAAATAAAATTTTGTTTTTAAAAAGTTGTTTATAAGAAAAGCTAGTTAATTTAATTAACTGCGATTTTGAAAATATTAATGAAAAGTTATAAATATATGGGAAAAAAATTGTTACCATTGAATTTAGAGGTGTAGCGCATACTATGATGGGATACAGAATAAAGATGAGCGAGACTGTAGTTATTAAGCCTATAATTAATGAGTCGCATAGTAATCTAAAAAAAAAATTTAATACTGGTTACAGTAAAATTTGTATTAGGAATGTATAATAAAAATTACCAATTTTTATAAAAAATTCATAAAAAATAGAAGAAAAATGATTGTTAGCAAATAAATCGATTAATAAATTATATCACTAGCAAGGGATTTGAACTGAACAGGTTACATATAAAGTTTATAGGTTCAAGAGGTGGACGCGGGACAATTTTTTTATTTACAACCTGCCCACTCGTGCTGGCACTTAAAAAATTCACGCCTATTTTACGACCGATGCTTAATTATTTTTAGCTTGACCCGCCCACTAATCACAATCACAATTTTGATCACGCAAGTCACACGCGGAAAAAAATCACTATTTTTAAATTAAAATCAATTTCTGTTTTGAAAAAAAAAACGTTTTTTGGAAATGGCCCTAAACATTTTTGGTTGTAATTAATAATTATCTACTAGTGGCACATTTATTTGTTATATTATGAGTTCGTCTTTCCTCTAGTTGTAAAAGATTATTAGCTATATAAAAATCTCGTTCACTGAAAGTAGAAATGGCTAGAACCTTAGGCAATCATTTTGTTTGCAATACAATTCTTAAATTAATTTTACTTAGAAGTAGGGTTCTGCCGATATTTAATATCGGATAGAATCGGTACCAATATTTAGCGTTTTTAAAAAATATCAAATCGGACCGATATTTTTGTAAAAACCTGTCCGATATGATATTTTTATTGTTTTGGGTTATTTTATGATTGTATTTTGTACATATAATTTTTTTGTATTTTATAAATAATTTCATAATAATAAATTATTGAACGAGAAATTTTACACTATTTTTTGTTATATTATTTGCAACAAGAAAAGGACTTAAAAATATCTAACTAGCCACGTTTACTAGTTCAAACAGTTCGATCTAGCCAATTAAAAAAGTTAATTCAAGATTTTTAGGCAATTCTAGGTCACTCAAGCTTATTGATTTTGCCCACAGGGTAGAAAGGTTTGGACATTTCTTAGCAAAATAACGAGGCTTTATGTAATAATATTTTGGCAAAATTATCGATATAGCCGTTCTTAAAAATTGAGTAAATGGAACTGTTTAACAACATTATATTCACCCATAAACATTGCACACATTTATGAGATTTTGAATAATTTAAAAAAAACACATAATCGTCCGTGAAAGTTTATTGATTTTTTTTAATTAGAAAATATTGATATTCTTATGACCTTGATTTAATGATAGGCTGGTAAATAAAAATCAATATAAATATTAGATCGGGTTTTTAATATAGAATTGGATCGGTGAAAAATTTGTGAATCTGCACAGCCCTAATTGAGGGAAAAAAATTTAATAGAATTTTAAATTTAAATTAGGAAACTTTAATGAAGATAAAGAAATTAGCTTACATGTTTATTGAATTTTTTTTTAAATTAAATCACAAGATAAATATGTAAGGAAGGATGTATTTCTATCTCTCTTTTATTAAGGTGATCAAATTTTAAAATTAAAATTTTATAATTCTTAAAAAAATTAATTTAAATTTTCCGTGATTCGCGTAAAATTTCAATTAACGCCCAATAATTTTTTTGGAAAAGCCCGCCACGCTCAATTACGGTTCGAAATGCAATATTCATTCATAATCGCGTACGGGTCCGCTTCTAGTTAAGATGTTAAAAATTGCAGGTTCGGTTATTTTCTTCAGCAAGAGTTTCAATTTTCTTTTAAAAATGGTTCGTTCTAAAATTACTATTTATAATCAGATTTCTAACAAAACCAGTATAACCCGGTTGTTTAGATCACCTGACTTAAGTCAACACAACTCCAATATGGTTTAGCCATCATTTGGCCTAAAAAAATAGACATAAACAAGTAACTCGAACTTCAACTTAAAAATTGAGGTTATTTTTTTTAGGATAATAGACACTCTAACCCGGTAAAATAAAACTATAAGGGCGTATCCCGAAATTATGGCCCAACTCATGGACATTATTTTAATCACGTGATCTGTCAGATTTGACAAATTATTAATAAAAATGATTAAGTATTATTAAAAACCATTTTTAATATATCTAAATCCTAACTCACATCTCTCAAACCTTTAATTAACTTTAATTCATATCTCTCTAACTATTAATCCTACATTCTCATTTAATAATATATTTAATACAATTAAAAAAATGTCTCCTGAGATGCGTAGTCGTTATTTGTTTTAAAATCTAGTCCCTGTTCGTCTTATACTTTTTAAGACTTATTTCTGTTTAGACCATTCTTTTCCGATTTTGAACTAGGAACGTTTTACTCTGTTTTATAAGAAGCCATAATAAAGTAGTGTTTAACGGCTTGATTTGAGCCGATTTTTTTAAAAACGGCTAACTCAATATTTTATCCATAATAATATTACGCAAGCCCGAATATTTTGCTCATAGACGGCACAAAGGGTCTTGACATTAATTAGCGAAATCTCGAGGCTTAGGCAATATTTTTTTGGATTAAATATTGAGTTAGCCGTTTTTAAAAATCTGCTCAAAACTAGCCGTTTAACAACACTATAATAAAGGGCTTAAATAGATTTCTGTTCAGGAGTCAGGATAAAGATTACTGGTTAAACTCTGATTCAGAAAAAGCCCCGTTCCGATCTTCTGGGTTTCTGATTAGTGACACCGATTACTAAATATAAATTAAATATGTACAATTTCTACGAACTTTTGAACGACCAAAAAAGACGAAAATTTGAGGCTAATGACGCAAATGGCATAACCAACGGCCATGTTGAATAACAAAGAGGTAAATGTACGTAAGACCATCTTTAATCGGTGTTGCTTTCTCCCCAGAAAAGTTGTATAGGCCTTGGATAAATTTATCAAAAATATAAAATTAGGTAAGGAAGAAAACCAAATAATTTAAAATTTTTAGAAGGCTGGGTCAAGAGTGGTGTATCGATACCAATTTTTGGAGGCCGATTTGATCCGATATTATCTCGATATCAGTCGATTTCCGATCCGATATCACTAATTTCATTTTGTTTGTTACTCATTATATATATTTTTTTAATTTTTCATGGTACCCTACTACTTTTTTATTTAGTATGCCATCATCTATGAACTACACTATAATCATAACGGGTCATTGTAAATTATACTGCCATCATTAAACCTATTATTCTAGGCTTACTTATTAATCTAAAAATACATTATTAATATTCATAAATCATTTTTTTAAATATAGTTAAAATCGTTGTAATTATTTTTTTGTTCCGAAAGCCTTTCCATCGTTTAGAAAGTAGAGTATTCCATTAGTCTATTTATGTTCAATGTATGTTGTACATATTTTTTGTAAAATTATTTTATAATTTAACATTCTAAGCATCCTTTATGCCCTGCGCTTATATCCTATTTTTAAATCTTTCTATCCTTTTTTATCATTTATAAAAAAGGACTAACCAAAAATTCAATGAAACAGGGTGGTCTCATGCTTCATTACCCACCAAAAGTGGTGGTTTGAGGATTAGATCTCCCACAGATATGCTCACAATGCCTTTATTTCAAGCAGTCTAATTTCTAACCCCATAATCATTTCCCACATTTCAAAAAATGACTTTTCCATAGATCCTGTTATGGAAAACACGTGTTGTTGATGTCCCTTTGCCTGATTCCAAAAGACAGAAGGATTGGGATAAGCCAGTTGTAGCTAGCTGCGTTGAATCCCTATTATCTTTGTTACCAACTGACCGTTCTCACTTCACTTATTTAATTAATAGATTCGGGCACGAATTCTTAGGAAATAACCCTTCTAGCAATTTTCACCCAACTCACCAACAATGAGCTTACCCATGCTATTGAAATCCGCTTTAATTATATGATAACCTTTCCCCACATATGCTTTGGCTGCAGAACTCGAAGAGACAGCAAGGAAGCCACAAGTTACAGTGTATATCGTGGAATCCTTGGGCATAACTCCTTGGTAAGCATGCATTATCCTTCTTCAAAGATTATAATCTCACATCTGCAAGCTTACTAGCGATCCTGGAGTTCTTCCTCAGGCAGATACTGGCCATAGCTATCCTTAAAGCGAATTAAATAAGCTTCAATGGCAACTTTGCTTCAAAGAAATTATTTAAATATTTATAATAAAAATTTATCAAAATTCTCTTTAGTGAAAAAAGAAATTTTTAAAATGTATTTTATTAATTTTTTCCATCTTATTATTTATTATGTATTTTTAAAATTTATTATATACTTAATTTATGAATTATTTTTTTTATAAAAAAAATTCTATTAAGACGCCATTTTATCTGATCGAAAATATTTATATCGGCCGGTATACGATATTTTTTTAAAAAAATATAGGAATAATCGGCCTGATCCAATTAATAAAAATATTGGTATTGTGTCCTAACTAGCAGCGGAAATAAGATCTTAAATTTATTCTCCGCGCTCGTTTAGGACATTGCTCATAAAAATCATTAAAACACTAATAATTATACATGTATGAATCGAACGAAAAATCCAGAACTCATCGCGACAGCCAATAAAATTCCTAATATGTTATAGTAATTGATTCCTGGCATGTCATTGTCTCTTGGAAACGATAATCGATTTTTCCCACCGTAACATTTAAAATATCCTGTAGCCGCTAAAACCAAACAACTCATCAGAATGTAAATTAGGTGGAATACTGTAAATCCCGAAAGAATTAAGCCGAAATTATAGTTTCTTACAGTTTCCGTAGAAACACCAATACCATCTTTTTCCCTATATAAGTCTGTAGCAACATTTTCAAGGTGTGATTTGACATGAGCACTATCCGATACTTTAGTTAAATGGCTTATTCCAAACCAAAAAAGTATCAGCATGACATAAAAAAACGCTAGCACGGTCACTATTATGAAGCACCATAGATGGAAAGATATGAATTGCTGATATATAGAGAAGGGTAATCCTACGAAGAGGCTTCTAATGTGAGGAGATAGGTTTGCGTCTTTATCGATCATTTTATCATTGCCGATTAATTTCAGCAATGAGTCAACTCCATGGGCATTTCTCAGGTTTACTCCCTTGATGTAAAAAGGAACGGTGGAGGATAGAAAATGCCTGGACTTGGGAACTATATAATATAATAAATATTTTAAGATGTAATAGTCCCAAGTTGTTTGATAGACAGAGTTAAACAAAATTAAATTTTAATAATTTTTTTTTAAAAAACAGATGATTTTGATGCAAGGATAAAGTAAAACGGGGGAAATTATTAGAAAAGGTAGTTTTTATACTTTCAAAATCAAGTTCGTAGGGGTCAAAGGTCCATTCATCCTCGTTTATATGGGGCTCAAAATTGGGCTGACTTTCACCGTAAAGGCTTTCGGATCTACTCACCCACGCAGTGGTATAATGGCGAAACCCTAAGGGATTTATCATTCCGTCATCGTTCACCAATTGAAAATCGCGCGCGTTAAATAGATTCTGGCCAAATTTTTTGACGTCCTTCATTCGACCGTTTCTAAGAAATCCAGTTGCTTTGAATGGCTGATTTTGTAGAAAATATTTTATAAATGAATTATAAGGGCAGCTCGACGTTACTAAAATTTACTTATTACTTTAGGCGTTATCGAAAAAAAACTTAAGTGAGCTGGCATACACCCGGCAAAAATATAATTTAAAAAAAACATAAATATTTGTATTGATTAATTTACTCTAAACAATCCATGCTTTTGATCATCTCTGACGTTCTGTGCAAATATTTTTCTGGTCTGTTCTATTAAAGCCCCGGCTAAAATCCCGTTAATACTAGCGTTGGGGTGCCATACCATCATTTTATCATGATCTTCATTTTTGTTCGATTTTTCCGATTTTAGGAGAGGTAATGTGGGTTTCAATTGAATGTTCTTTAGCATGATGTCGCGTTGATAATCATCTTGAATGGTCAACAACCAATCCCTGTTAATTTTTATTTATTATATAAACATATTAAATTTCCAATAGCATCCCATCTGTATATTTAGATAAAAACCAAGGAAAATGATTTTAACCTTGCTCAGAAATGTAAAATCAATAAATCAGAGAATTACATTATATGCAGAATATTTTAACTCCGACACGGCTTTAATTTTTATTCCATTTTCTGATTACAGTTTTATTAAGCCCTACCATTTTACCTGAAGTTGTCTAAGACAATTATTATGCCCCAGTTTAAACCATTTCCCCCCTCCCTCTTTACCTCATATGGCATAACCAAAAGTTGACGCTTCTACACGCGTGATCTTGATCAGCAGAATAATTGTTTGCGTGATCCATTATGTCCACAATTTCGTTATTATAACTACCATTTTTCTTCTCATTATTAGTTCTTAATGTATCATAAAAGATTTCAGAATATAGAAAATATTCAGAGCTAGTCGAATTTACGAAATCGGAAATAATCGTTCCAGAGGAATCATCTACAAGATCTTGCAACAATCTATAGAGAGCTCTTTGCTTGGGTTTACTAAATTGGGTGAATTGGTTATAATCGCTGGTATCCTTGTGTAGAAGTAAGTAAAATACGGGTTCTATATCAAAATGCAAGAGATTTAGAGCTTCGAAATGAGTTATAGACGGTGAATGGCTAGGATAAAACATGGATATATCAAATCGTCCCCAATTTAGTATCCGGTGAGGATATGATGGATCGTTGTTTAGTTTTACACGAAAATCTAGGTTCTGATAATTTTTTGAGGCAGCTAAATATTATTTATTATTTTAATAAAATTTTTAAATTAATTCCGAGATCAAATATAAATTTCGCAAAAATATTGGGTTGTTTTCAAAAATCGACGTTTAACAACACTAAATCAAAAAAATAATATAAGATAATTCAATTCAAATATTGTATTATAACTCATATTCAAATTATATTTTAATCTAGAGATCTGTAAAAGTAGACGCGGCCCAAACGGGCTTCGGACCGAGCCTAATATTTTTTAAAAAAATCAGGACTGGGTCATTCTCTTTAAAACAATTTGCAGTTATTTAAAATAATATAATTTTAAATTCTCGGGCACAAAAAAATAAAAAATGGCAAAAGCCGGGTTCAACTTCTGTTTTCGCAATAAATAAAAATAAGGATTTTTTTTTACAATGATCTTTATGGTATTCAAAGGCATGGAAATGCTTTTGATAGTAACCGATAGCGATTATTGACAAAAACGCGATCAATATCGTCAAACCACAAAATAACACGAAGCGTGATGTAAAATTTCTAAGCACTAATGGTTTATCACTTGCGTCAAAAGATTGACCCGTATCGCGTGGATGCTTATTTGATCGAAGATTAATCTTTTATTTGTGTTTTAAAAAAAAAGATAACCGAAAATTAAGTTTTAGAAAAAATCGGTTAGAGTCTTTTAACATTGGATTGATAAAATATTAGTCAATGAAATGAGCGAAAAATAAGAGAAAATGAATGAGGCGAGAAATTTTCATTATATGGCCAACTTCGAAAAAGTTGATATTATGATAATATGTTAACTAAGTATAAATAATATAAATGAAAAAGTTTAAAGGATTAGTGATCCAACTATGAATATAAGCAGAATCGAATTCATAAACTTTCCTAAAAACTCCCATAAAAATATGATTTAAAAATCATATATATACATTCAATTTGTTACCTTGGTAAAACCTTGATCTAGCTTGAACCATCTAAACCAGCCATAATATTTATTATTATTGTCGTCAATATCCGTCGATTTCAAATGCGAAGATGTGAAAAGAAGCTTAAAATAATACGTTTCTAAATAATGCCCAAACGAGGATACATGAAATCGTCTGCCTTTTTCGTAAATATTATAATACCCATCGCGATTACCGTTTCTCAGATTGTAACACGAGGGCGATAACTTGATAAAATTATTATCGACCTTGTAACGTGATTTATAGTCGCTATTATCATTACTACACGAGGAAACAATATCAGGGACATTGTGCGAGGGGAGATTTTGTTGCATTTCGTAATATATGCTGGAACCATGATGTAAAATAGTTGGGTCACATTTATTTTTGCCAACAAACTCTGACCTTTAAAATAAATTACATGTATGTATAATGATGTATGGTAATATTATAAGTATATTTTGTAGCTTAGTATATTTAAAAATTTAGGAATATATAATCTTCGAGAAGTTTATTAAATTTCTCAATATGCCTCCAACAAAATTCGTATTCAAAATGTAGTCGTAAATTTGGATTACAAACAATTAGAGTGGAACTCTTTTGTCAAATCGATTTGATAAAAATATCGAATAAATAAAGCCATCAGAGTAGTTTTTATAATATTAGATTTTTCTTTAATTTGTATATTTGATAAAAAGATAAATAATATATCTATTAGCGTCAATGTGTTTTTGCCGGCAACGTGTTATTTTCAATTTAAATTCATTTTTTGCGCGCGTTTTTACCGGAAATGTTTTCCGTGTTCGGTTACCTACCTTATAAATATGAGACAATTTGGCTTTGAACTTTTGAACTTAATATAAATTATATTAGTTTTTTCCATAGATTTTTTATATAAATTATAAATGACTCAAAGGTTAACGGCGAAATTATATAAAATTCATAAGATAGGTATTCCAAACATGCTGGATTAAAAATCATATTTTTAAATTTAAAAAAACGTGCAAAAAAAATGTTTTTAAGTTGAAAAAAACACATTGACACTGACATATCTATACATATGATTCTTAAAATTAAATATTGTTATTTATTATATGTACAATATAATTATCAGTAAATATGCATATTTTAATTGTATTTTTCTTTCTAATATATTTTGAAAAAACGTTGTTCGAATTTAACGTTCGTTCAATTTTAAAAATATTTTTATTTTTATTTATTTGAAAAATTTAATATTTCCGAATTTTTTTTAAAAAATGAAAATTTCATGGAATAAAATATTGAAATCTTTATTCTCGCAAAACAATGTTGTTTACTTCTTAATCGGCTGTGTATTTCCTTTTCACATTTCAATTTTTAACACATAGTTTATTAATTTGAATATTATTGTTTATATTTTAATTTAATATAAGCATGGATATTATTATTTAATCCTCATCATCTGATTCTGAAAATCCAAAATCAGATGAATTATCATTAATATGGCCAAATATGATAAATGTTTTACATTAACATCCTATATTGAAGGAACTAATCCAATGCTTAACAAGTGTAAAATGTGGCAAAAAGTATTATATTGTCAAAATCTTCAGGTTCCAATTTAAAACGGCATTTGATTTTAATATTAATTATTTGATTTTATATTATATAACTAAGTTAAATCATTAAATTTGAAGAAATAATGCATTTGGGATATTTGACCCCAACAATAACGATAGTTATTTTAAAATTAAAAAAATTAGTGACCTCAAATATGGTCAAACCATTGATAGACGCAGTATTAAATGGAATTAATAAAAGGTATTAAACCTATTACTCTCAATAAATTACATATATTTTATTTTTTTAAAAATTTGAATATATATATATAAGGATCAATATGTTCTTTGTGCAATTATACAACCAGCATTCAAACTTCAATGGCCATGGATAAAACTTCCACAGAACGAACCTATTAAAAATAAACTTATAGCGTCATTGAAAAAAATGCTATGAAAACCCTAGAAAACTGTTAATTTCGAGATATCCTTTTTTTGTCGAGAGTAGAGAATGGATTAGAGGAGAATAACTTTATCTCAATTTTTTGCAAATAACAAAACAATATGTTTTTAATTAATTCTCCACGTTAAAAGAGCTGTTTATTAAGTATAATACCGCAATCCCCTCATCTGCCCCTGTAGAGCGCGTTTTTAGTATAGCGTTCCTGTCTATCAGATAAATATTTTGAAAACAATTGTTATTAAAATTTAATAAGAAAAATTTTATAAATAAAAATATCTTTTTATTCGCTATATTATATTATATTTTATTTATAATTATATTATCAAAATAAAACTATATTATTTTTTAACATGGCTAAAATAATATAAGTTTATTTATATTAAATTAAATTTAAAAAAAAAATTTATCATAAAATTCTGAACGGTTTTATGAACGTGAACGCGTTCCTTTTTTTGAACATGAACTTGAACGTGAACGCGTTCGATTTTTGTCAATGAACGTTGAACGCGTTCGATTTTTTTAGAAATGTTTACAGCACTAGTTTTATATTAGAATTTAAAATATTAAATATTTTTCATAATAAACTAATGTTATTCAATATATATTGATTACTTTTTTTAAACTTTAACTTTATTTTTAAAATGGAATCAGCTTAATTATTTTTTCAAAAAAAATCTACATTTAAAAGCATGTGTATATTAATAATGTATAAAAATGAAAAATAACTATTAAAAAAATTTATAAAAAAAAATAACATTAAAAAGGGATTTAAAAAATAAATAATTTCTTAGACCATTGCTGGCATTGAACATGAATGGGGAATAGATTCGCATATGGACTTTGAGATTCGTTATTTTATAAAAACATTTATTTGGATCTCCAATTTTATTTGAGATATTGTATATAATCTTTTGTAAAAAAAATAAAGAATATATAATTTACTTTAATTGACATAAAGTTTAATGTAAAAATGACTTGTAAAAAAATTTTAAAACATTAATTAAATAAAATAATTTTTATATAAATAATACTTTTATTTTTTGTTATAATTAATTTTCTGTTCAATAGCTTCTTTTTATTTGAGTAAATATATAACTAATATATTTTATCATTTTTAGAAATTTTAGGGAATGTCCAAAAGTCAAAAAAAATTTTCGGAAAAATAATAAATGATTCTTCGCTGCATCCAAACTTGATTCCGTAAATTTTAATAATAAATTAATTTTTTTAATAAAATTTTTTGACTTTGGATGCCCCCCTTAAATTAGTAAATTTTTAATTCCAACCCATACGTCCACCAAATTCTAAATATCATCGGATGAGAATTATAGTGGTCTATATCCCCATTTTTGAGAAAATACTCTTTTTTTGGATAAATCAATTCTTCATTACTATATTCTTTCAATCAACAATAAAAATATTAAAATATAATTTAGAATAATCCTATGTTTGCATTATTTTAGTGTAACCTCCAATTTAAAATACAGCGAGCCGACGACATAGAGTTTATATATTTATTACAACTTTTTTGAATAATTATATTTATTTTGGTTTTCTCTTTATATTTATATTTCTAGGACACCCACCAACACCATCGTATTTAACTTATTTGGCATTACACTGTTCTTCTTCGCTCAATATTACAAATTCTGGACTATCTAATGTTTCCACATAAAATCTTAATGTGACATCCCCAGAGCTCTCTAGACCCTAATCCAATGAACACTGATCCCCTCCCCAAAAATTTTAAAAGCCGCAATTGCTCTGGACACGCCATTTTTAGTTAGGTTATTTGGCTTGCTGAGCAGTCTAAACTAAATAAGTTTATGATTAAAAATTAAAACTACTATTTTGCAAATAGAAAATTATTCATATCAATTTATTTTTTTTAAAAAATGAAATATTAAGCTTTTTATTATATAAAACTACATTTGAATTAAAAATTATTATTGAAATTATAATCAATAAGAAAAAAATTTAAGAAAATAAAATGAATTTACTTTCGTTTGTTGTAGAATTTGTCCAGGAAACGGCATTTGTTGCGTGTTAAAAATAGATAAATCAAACTAGGAAATATTACGAGAAGCGTGATTTGGTTTAATAGTGACAATATGAGGAGCTTAATTATAATAATGATTAATATAATAAATTTAAATATTTAATCAATGAATGTTTATAACCCAAATAATGAAATAAGATTTGTAAGTTACAACTAGTGTTAAATCTCTCGATTTGAGCCGATTTTTAAAAACGGCTTTAACTCAACATTTTAGTCAGAAAAATATTGCCAAAACCTAGAGATTTTGATAATTGATGTTCAGACTTTTGTGCCGTCTCTGCGCAATGTCTCCAGGCTTACTTAATATTTTTCTGGATAAAATATTGAGTTAAAAGTGTTTTCATTTGTAATATAGTTTGGAAAAAAACAAATTTAAGATATTTGCTCATAACATTTAAAGATTCTTTTTTAAACTGGTGGTGAATATAATAAATTCAATAAATGAATCTTTATAATAACCAAATAAGGAAATAAATATTACAAGTTACAACTGATTAGTTTAAAATGTTTATTAAAAAAAAGTAGTTCAAAAGGTGTTTCATTGTGTGATATATCAGTGGTTTAGTTTGATTTATAATTATACTTTTTTATTTTATGCATTAAATTACACTTGTAAAATTTGGGCTCTTAATAATTTGAGCAACTCCCTAATTTGACCAAAATTTTGAGTCCCAAAATCAAATTCCTATTAACTACTATGTATTAAAAAAATGACTTGATAAATTGGGCAAATATCTTGGTCCCAAAGGTGTACAAATTAGTTAAGTTTTACTGTATTTCTAATGTAAAAAAAAAGAAATCTATTTTTAAATAATAGAAATTTTGATAAACTTAGAACATATAAATAATAATTATTGGGGTTTTTTGGCAAGAAGAAAAAATTGCATTAGCTGATTTGTCTGAATTCCTTACTGGTTATTATCTTTCTAATATAACAAGCTAGAAAATTTTCGAACGTTCAAAAAAATTTCTCGTTTCGAGAATATTGGCATAAACCAAGGGGAAGTGGGGGGGGGGGGGGGTAAGAAGGTAAAGCCAGACATTTCTACTCCTTAGAAAATTTGATAGTGTTCCTAGATATTATTTTAAACTGCCCCCCCCCACGTTTAAAAGCATAATATTAAATTATTTTTTTTATAAAATACAGTCCTGGATAAAATACATATCATAAAGTGGGCTATTACATTAAATATGGTTAAAGGGAAAAGCAATACGCTTAATGCGCAATAACATATAAAATGAAAGAGAATTAGAGATTTAGCGTCTATCTTCCGGCCCGAATTGACCTAATAATATTTCTAAGGATCCCATAAGCGTAGTTATGCGGAGAATATTTAAATTATTCGTAAATTATTTTATTTTTTTAAAAATTTACAGAATATCCAAATGTTCTAATAGCTTTGATCGGTATTAATAGGCTGCACGATATAGCGATAAGTTTGAAGGACAAGCAGATCACGAAAGTTGGACCCAAAAGCTGGAACCATGCAGGTAATAATTGGGTCTAATGAGAAAAAAATTTTTTATAATTGTTTTCATTCTAGCGATTTTTTCTTTTTCTCTTTCTTTTTTTACAGGGTTCTGGAAAACTCTATTTAGCGGAAATTTTGATAGCAGGAACTTAATCGAAAAACGATTTTCTAAAGGAAGTACGAACTATCGCAGGGGGCCCATATTACCCCGGGTTCGATGGGTTGCCTATAAATCATCTGCTTGGTCTGCGGTGTCAAAATGTTCATTCAACAATTTTAAATTTTTTAACCCGAATTCGGGTCCAGAACCCTGTTTTTTTATTTTTTCTTAAATTTTAAAATTAAAAAAATTGCTAACTTTAAATATTCCCTTTCTATCCGATTCCTCGTCAGCCGAAGAATTGCCATAGTTTCTGAAGACGAAATTTTTAAGAATCAGATTGAGTTTATGGATTATGTGAAATATGGTCTCCAAACCAACCCCAAAGGTTAAAATTGGCAATACCTTTAAAATAAAAATTCATAATTTTATAAAAAATAATTTTTTTTCGTGCTTTATTAAAATAAACCATTTCGTACGAAAAAATATCCTTCAAAGCCGATTTTTACTCTTACTTTTCGTTAGCTCTAATTTTTTAATGCTACTCTACACAGTAAATTAGAAGAAAAAAAATCGAGTCTGTGAGACGTATAGAGTTAAATAACAACAGATTTTCACAACAATAATCTATCTTGTCATGAGTATAATAACAAGACTACCGTAGTATTTAAAAAAATGTGTTATAAAACTTATAGAGCTCTTTTAATGATACTAGCCGTGTCCTGATTCGTCTTATTTCGAAACGTGGCTCGTTTAAGTCGTCGATATTCTCTAAACAGCCTTTAAAAAAAGCTAGTCTATTTATATTAAGTAAGCAAAGTGTCTGTGTTCTTTTCAACATATTTAATGTACATACACTTAAAATAAATCAAAATAGGGTATCCTAGTTCAAAATCTGTTTAGTTTGGTCTAAAAAGAAATAAGTTTCAAAAATAAGACGAGCCAATAGGCACTGACTTTTTGGAGAAAAAAAAAGAGTGAGTGCCCGTTTTTACACTAATTAAATGACGAGCAAACACTGTGTTTTTTTTGTAAAATCATTATGTCAATCCTTTATTTTTTCAGAAAGCAGATATAAACCTCAAACATAGGATTTTGAGCGATTCCCATCAAGTATAATATCCCCAAGCCAGACACAATCGAAACCGAGTTCACGAAAATGGCGACCACTGCCACGTACAAACTCTCCGACACGATCTTCAAAGTCAGGGTTGTAGAAACGAAAAGATAAACGAACTAAATATTTGAAATAATAAAATAAGTTTATATTTTTAAAATAACGATTATTTTTTAATCTTTCTAAATTTGATTTACATTTAAAGACACACATATATATAATTAAATATTATTTTAAGCAGAAAAGGTTTTATTTTAAATATATCGTCCTAACAACCCTTCTTGGATATTTTTTTATAAAAAAAATTTCTTAACTTCATTTCAACATTTTTTGGATTTTGAAAATAATTAAAATAAACTATTAAGCATTGTTAGGATATGTATGGGTATTAATAGTGATATTGAATGTAGCAAGTAATAAATTATATTTCGTTTTTTAAATAAATTTTAAAAATTCGTCAAAATTTATGTAATAATAACTACACTGCAAAAAAGAAGACCCAATATCCGTTTCCGCTTCAAATAATCGCTAATTAGTGTGGAATATTGATCCGCAAACGTTTGCGGTGTTAATCCTGCCAGTATCCCGTTGTAATTTTCATTTTTAATCTTAAACTCGTTTTCCTTTATCCCTCTTTCATCCTGATAAGCCTTTGAATGGATAGAATCAATCCTAGCCTGGAATTGTCTTTGCCAGGTTATCAGGATAACTTTGGCCATGTGAGGGCTCCAATTTTTACCGATATTAGTATTGGTGTCAAATTTCATCTTATTTTTTTTTATTTTTCATGAGATAAACATTTCATGTCTTAAACCAAAATATTAAATTTATAATAAATTCATATTAAACTGAAATATAGTGAGATTCTCCAGGCCGTAAATTAGGTTAAGTTATTAAAAATAATAAACAAAATGGCGACTTATATATAACTTTTTAGTCATCAAGTGTTCCTTCTTCAAACTCCTTTCTCGTCGTATAATTAGTATTTTTTTAAAATGGAGCCTATAATTTGAAAACAGGCATTATATGACTAAAGGAAGTTATAAATAAAACCATATTAGATTTAGTAAAATTATGGTTGTGCAATCCCATTTAAAATACATTAGAAGAAGAATAAAACTCAAAAGTGAAAACTCTTTCATTTGGAAGCAACACTACTAGATTGCATGTAATTGAATCTATGAAAAATACATATATTACAGAGATTGATGTTGTTTGAATTTTTGAACTGTAACGCCAGTACTCGTATAGATCGAAGGGATTCATGAGCTGGATAGTGGTTTGAAGTGCTAGACTAATAGTAATTTGAAGAAGAAAATAAATAGGTTTGTGTGAGATATTCAATAATTTTCTTTCTTTTTTTCTTTCATTCTTTCTTTCTTTCATTCTTTCGTTTTAAGGGGATAATAAAGTTTGTTCTTTTAAATAATCAGAGTTTGGAACTGGCACAGAATTTCGAACTTTTTAAGATTTAAAGAAATTGGAATGTATGGTCTAGGAATTACTTTTTAAAATAAAAAATTTTTTTAAATCGATTTTTTAAAAAAAAGTTGCCTTGGAGAAAAATTGAGGGGAGATTTATTGATAGAAAAGCGTTTATTTGAATGAATTACATCATTAACATCTGTTTTCCTGTGAGGCTTGTGAATTAAATTAGAGAACTAAAAAGTGTTTTATTAATAATATGGTCTTGCCCATTCATGATAATTTAATACATTTTGAGTTGCATAATTTATGTTTTTTTAGAAAAAAAATTTTAATGTTATAATGGTAGATTATTTTAATATAATTTAATATTTTTTGCAAATAGAAATTATTACTTTAAAAACTCATCTAAATTAATCTTAGTTTACCAACAAAAAATTTAAATTAGAAATGATTAAAAAGATTCTTGATGTCTCTTTTAATCTTAACAAATCCTTATAAGAGTTTTTATTTTACAAAAATTATTTTATATAATAAAATTTAACAATTAATTAAAACTTTATGCAAAATCTAAACAAGAACTATTATCAAAATTATAATTGAATTCAATTTAAACCAGAAACGCAAACTAGAACCGTGTCAAATTTAAGAACCGGAAGCCAGAACCCACTTTTCATAATTATAGAAAAAGTAATTTTTTATATTCAATACTAGACACCTTTATACCAGGTTCCATATTTTGCGGGCCCGTAGTCAAGAATTTCCAGTGGGGGAGGGGGCAACAATTTATTTGGGAGAACCAATTTTTTGGAAATAAAACAAGACACTTAAAAAATTTTTGTTATTTATTATAAAATTTTCTAAAAATAAATATAAAATAACAAAATTAATATAATACAACGATTTTGATTTTTAAATTTTAACATAAATGAATTAAAAGATAAATTTTGGGTTATATTATTTTTTTATATACAACATTAAAATTAAAATTTTGTTTCCATCTATCTTTTCATTGACTTTCTAAACAATTGGAAGTACATATCAATGAAGAAAATATTGAATAACGTTATGCTCAGTTACACCCCATAGGAAATTTGATATTCTAAAATAATATTCGTTCTCTTCGTAATAAAATATTCGTCCTCTTTAATATTTTTATACATTATTTTAACATTTGATAGGTTGATCTATAATTGTTTAAATATTATCACGTGATAGGAGCCGGAAGTAGTTTATCATATTTAATTAAACTTCACTAAGAAAATAAGAATTTGGACTCATTCAAATTTTTTAAAAATATTATATTAATATGTGACATTGTATTGGTCTTAACATTTGGGTATGATCTAATCAGGATGTAGTTTTGTAATTTCTGTAATTTATCTTAATGGTTAATTAATTAAATCTCGCTAACATTAACTGACAAATTCACCAACACTAATGTCATTCGAGGAATAAAAAAGGTGATATTGTTTGTTGTTTTTATTTTATTTAATGTTAACAAGTTGAATAAATATTTAATAACTAAAATTTTTCTAAGAATTTTGTTTTTTCATTTAGATTTAATTGTTAATGGCAAATTAAAATTTATTAACTGATTTATTTTTTAAAATTTGTGGGCCAAAAATTTTATCGCGGGGCCAGGTTTGAGGGCCGAAAAAATTGGAATCGGGGGGCTTCATGGCTAAAGACCTCTCTCATTAATAATATAAAAAATATCTAAAAATGTGGTCAACCTTTCTTATTATTTAAATTATTGAATAATCAAACTCTCTTCCTCCATGTTTTACCCCCATCCAAATAAAAAACCCTTTCAATATGATTATTTAATTTACATATCATAGGTGCTAGGTTCCGTTCCCTGCTGGTGATCTTTGCTTATGGCATCATAATCCATAATCAAGTGGAGAGGCCACTTGTTAAATACGCGTGACATACCTATGCACCCGCCATCTTTTATGCCGCGAGTTAATGTATCATTTGTAATACTAGAATTCTAATTTTTTTTAAAAAATATTAAATATTATTTTTTTCTTAATTTTAAAATTATTTTTTATCCAATTATTTTAATTATTCTTAAGAAGAAGAAAATTCAATCTATTATACTTTATTAGGACATTCGGAATCTTCGGGATTCAAACATGATTTTGTGGTGTATCCATCTTGGTTTATCTGAAACTATTTGGTGAAATTTTATAGATTATTTTTTTTTTAAATTAATTGTAATAAAAACATAAAGTGATGGATCTAATTAAAATGTAATCGGACATTTATTTATTCTCCTTCTTTGATATCGAAAAAAATATTATTCGATTCGATTAAATGAAATCTTTTAAATCGGAAAATTCGATGTTTTTTGGATAAAAAATAAATAATAATAAAAATAATATTTGTATAATTCGAATCGAATTTTTCGTATTGAAAAAAACAAAATAAATTAATTTAATAAATGCTCTTTATGAAGCCTTAATTCAAGGTGCATCAATAGTGGCTGCACCCAGGAATTCATTTTGAGTCCCATTCAAAAGAAAATAACAAAAAAAAGAGAATAAAAAAATAAAATGGAATCTAAATTTACCAAAAAAAGAGAAGAAAAAATAAAAATCCAATCATAAATTAACAAAAATAAGAGAAGAAAAAAACTAAAATCCAATCTAAAATTAGCAATAGCAAAATCTGTAAGCTTAGGCAATATTTTTCTGGCCAAATAGCCAGTTAGCCATTTTTAAAAATCGGCTCAAATGGAGAGATTTTGCATAACTAATAATAAGTATAAATAACAAAACTTACGCTATTAGCGAAATTGATCAAAGGCTCTGAATTGAAAGGTAAACCGCTTGTTTGGATAAGATTAATAAGTTTGGCCGGTTTTAACGTTTCGAATCTCAGATCGATAGTATTACCATTTGGTAGACTATTTTGTTTTTATAAAAAATAAAGAAATAAAATTTTAAAAAATGACGCTTATAATAGCGCAAACAAATTATTAAGTAATCTAGTATTATAAATCATTTTATTGGAGTAAAAAATTTAAAGGGAGGAAAAGAAATAGGAAATTTAAGATTTTCTTTACGGTAAATTAGTAACGGGTTTAGGATGCAATTTGGAGCCTTCCCAAAAACAATCTAGAGGTGTTACGATGCTACAGGGAATCAGGTGATGAGCTAGCTAAAACAAAATATATAGTTGTTACAATATAGTTTGTATAGCAGTTTGAAATGAATAAACAAATTGAAAACGATTACTTTTTTAAAAAACCGATCAATCGTATTTTTAAAAATATCGATAACCAGCTGATATCGTTTAAATTGGTGCCGATCCGATTTAAATATTAAAAAAAATATAAAATAATCAAATTATAATTAATTCTATTCAAATTTTATTGGTCATGTTATTGGGGCTAATCCCTATATGGCGTAGCCCGACCAGGGGGTCGGAGAAAAAAGATTTTCGAGCAGGGTGAAACAAGTTGTCGAAAATATTTTTACGGCCAGATGAAAATATTTTTAAAGCAGCTGATAAGGGTGGGCCGAAACGCCTGATAGTAAACCTACAAGGGGCAGTTAGAACGGGAGACTATCTTAGTATGAATTATCTTACATTTATTTTATTTTTTTTAAAAAACGAACAATTTGAATCACAATAAGAAAATTTTACTATTCGTACGAATACGAATAACGAATCAAATAACTCACTACTCAATTCGATTTTAATAATATACCAAAAGGGCACTGTTCTGAACTACTTACTTTGTTAAATGGAAATCAAGTGCAAAATAATAGCTTTTAATAATTATTTTATAATAAAAAAAAATATTAATTAATTTTTACTTGTGTTGATAGGTAATCCATTTTAGGAATCGTCGGCTTGTAACAGATATCCGAGAGGCTCCATTTGCTAAATGATTATTTTTTAAAGTATAAAACAATTGGCAATCAAATTAAGGATATAATCATTAATCCTTAAATGATCTCCCATAGGCCTAATAAGAATAGGAACGAACAAATCTAATAAGAATAATTCATTAATTGAATAGGCCTAGTTCTCGTGTGAAATGAAGCTTTAATTTAAAAATGTTTACTTGATTGGTTCGGCTCGATTCAAGCCGATTTTAAAAACAACATAACTTAAATATTTTTTCCAGAAAAAAAATATTACGTAACCCAGAAGATCTTACTCATAGATGGCACAATTGAACATTTAACAAAATTTCGAGACTTAGGCTATATATTTCTGGCTAAAATATCGTGCTAGTTAGCCCTTTCTAAAAATCGGTTCAAATCGAGATAAACTAAACCAAATAGGGTAACCATACCAATAATTCTTTCCAGACAGGCACTTATCCCATATAACTTGAATAAAAATTCTTATTTTTAAAAAAATGAGTTAATGGCGTTCGTTAGGGAGTGCAAGGTAGCACAAGCCACTTAAGTTCAGAGAACCCCGCTCCACATTTTTTTTTATTATGAGAATTTTTTTTTCCCTCATTTTTAGAAATTAGGAGATATTTTTCAACCACCCCCCCCCCACCTCTCCACAGTTGAAAAGGTTGGCGAGCCTATGAGCATAGTTAATATATCGCGTTACAAAATGTAACACATGAGGAGAGGGGATTTAAATCTGACGTTTTTTATTTTAAAAAATTTTGAAGAGTAAAAATGTTTATAAGCTAGCCAATAATTTATAGACGAAATTTTCAATAAAATAAAAATTTATTAAATATTCATTTATGATAACACCGGACACAAAAAAAAATATAGAAATAATAATTATTATAATCAATTTATATTATTTTATTTTAAAAAATCCAAAAATATAGTATAAAAAGGGAGAAAATAAGGAAGGTCGAGTAAGCCGTTTAGTTAGGGATGTTTTGTGGGAAGTAAACTGCTGTTGTAGCTCATGTTTCCCGATTTTGAATTCAGAGATTGCGCATTAGAGATCCTAAATCCTTGAAGAAGGATAAAGCAAATTCATCGAAGAATGTTAGAGTAGGATATAATTGATACGTGACTGCAATTGCAACCTGTTATTATTGTTGGAGTAAGTTAAAGTTTGAATTGATGGGGCCAGTGGATGATTCTTTTCAAACAATAAATTGTCCCCTATTCTAAGGATTAGGGTGGGGTTTCATTATACTACTTTCAATCGCGTGTGAAAAATTCATCTAATTCAAGAATGCTTATTATTTGGGGAGATTGTGCCTGAGGATTCTGCCTTTACACGATCGGCAACGTAAGTTGGGCCTCCCTTTGCTGTTTATAGAAGTGCTGCAGGCAGAACAGATGTGAAGAGGTGGTATCATTATCACACACGGCGATTATCAATGTCGTGGGTGAGTTAATTGTTGGTGAATTGGAGGTGAAGATTGGTGGAAGGGATAGCTTCATAGTAAGCTACTCGAAATGAAGGTTGTGAGAACTAGGTTGTTGGGGGATTTAATCCCCTGGGTGGATAATGCTGAGTTTGATTCTTGCAATGTTTTTTTAAGGTGGATAAATGATTTATGCGACGATAACAGGTAGAGAAGGTCGCCAAACTTAGCTATATCTGAATCAAGCTTACTAACGAGGTAATCTAGCTAGTATCTATGTTGATTTGAAGTACATTTTGCTAAGAACTACGGAGGCATAAAGGAATCTTAATATATTTTTTGAAACGATGTAGCCCTGCCCCTACCATCAAATCATAGAATATTCAAACTAAGTCATTGTATTTAAAAACACATTATTTATCTTTTTATGATTTATTTTTCAAATTATTCTAATTTTTTGAAAAAAAAGAAGCATAATCTTCTAAAATAAAATGAAAAAAAAAACACACACCGATAAAAATTATATTGTTTTATAATAATAAATTATATTGTATATTAAAAAAAATAATAATAATAAACTAATTATTAAATATTTTTTTTTTATTAGCAAGAATTCAAAATCCAATGAATTAAAATGTGTTTGGTAATGGCGATGGGATGGATGGGGAGCATAAGGTTACGAATCGTAATTAAATTGATAATAAATGTTTGTTTGGAAGATACATTTTAAAATAGAGCCCACCCATATTCGTTTTATTTTCTTGATAATAATAAATTATTGAAGAATTCTTGGAAATGAAAATATACGATATTTATTAATCCCAAACCAAACTACCCCTAATGTTTTTTTAAAAAATTTTTTTAATGTTATTTTGCCTGTTATTGATAAAAAAAAAATCTTTTTAAGGGGTATAGACTAAACTATTTTTTTAAAATAAATTTTTGGCAGACAAGATAAGGAAGGCTTTTTTTTATCACACTTTTAATATTTTTTACAAAAAAAAAAGAGAATAAATATGAAATTAAAAAATGCGAGATTTTTTTCAATATTTATTTTTTTTTATATTCCCAGACCCATCGGCTAGTCGTCATTTCTTGTTCTGGTATTTATTTTAAAAAAATTGTTACAAAATTAATTATTAGAGCTATCCGAGTTTGAATTATTTTTTTCGCAAACGGTCCGATTCGGATTTATTATTAAAATAAATTTATTTGGACAGGATCGAACACGGCTGCCCTTTCACAGCTAAATCTTGAAATAAGGCATAATTTGGCTTTATGAAGGGACTTATTTTTTCCAAATTAGAATCAAATCGTAAGAAGCGTGCCGAAGAAACCTCTCTCTAAGCATTGAGGTCGCGAGTTAATTTTATTTGCGCGTTCTTCAAAATTGAGTTTATATTTCAAAGAGGAAAAAAACATCTGACAGATAATGGTTTTCGGGTATAAACAGCATTAAAATAGATCTTATAAACCCATCTCAACGCAGTGCCAACATAAACTGATATAAACTAGTAAAAAAAATTCCCTAAACCCTCCACACACCCCAAGAATGTAAATAATATGTCACTATAAAGAAGAATTTGAAAGAAAAGTTAGCAAAAGTTAAATAATTTTTAAAATAACGACTATAATAATTGAAAAGTTTTAGAAATAAAGCATTTTTATAAAAAAAAAGGTAAAACCAAAATTATTTTTATAGCAAATGACAATAAGTGAAAATCTTATCTAATAAACAAAATCCTGGCTACGCCTATGGCCCAATATGTTGTATTTTTTTGGTAAATCCAACATAAAGATATTTAAAGGTTATTAGATTTAAGATTATATGCTTACCTTACCCCCTAAATTATATCTTGGCCCAAACGTGAAATCCTTTAATCTAAACAAATTATAAATAACCTTTCGGCATGGTTGACAGGTTGTTAGCACGATTTTTAAACAAAAAAAATAGCATTTTTTTAATTTTTTTTATTCACAGCTGTTCGCAGATGATAATTCGTAAAACTTAACTTAATTTCGGAGACAAAATTTTTACTTTTAATTAAATCTAGGATAAAAAATTTTATTTGAGGCAAATATTTTTTTTAAAAAATATAATATAAATTATAAGGGCCCGTAAATTTCTCTTCATTTCCATCTCTTTCGTAAAAAAAAAATAGAGACGGAGAAAAGGGCATCATTAAAAATTTGTAATAAAGATGAAATGACTCAACTATTTCATTTTTTTAAATATTATTTGTATATTATTTTCATCCTTTTTAAATAAATGATAACCAAATATGATTTATTAGTCTCATAATAGTACAATCTAAATTTTGCGTTTTACTTTCTTTTTCTTCCTTCTTTCTTTTCTTTCTTTCTATCTACTAGTGGCTTTTGAAAAACGGATAACTCTATATTTAAGCCAGAGCCCAGATTCCGCTAATAGATGTCTAGTCGTTTGTACCATTTATGAGGAAAATTTTCAGGATTGCGTAATATTTTTCCGGATAAAATACTGAGTTAGCCAGTTAACAACACTCACTACTATCTACCGTGCTTATCACAAATTTATAAACATAATAAAAACGCAAACTGGTTTTGATATTATTTTTTTGGAAAAAGCTCAATTAGGTCCTTACTATAATAAATTTTAAAAAAAATTTTATATTTTTTAGAAAATATAAAATAATTAGCTTCCTTGAATTTTGAATATAAAACCTTTATGGGATTAATTGCCATACTTTTAAAAACTTTGCAAATAAAATAAGTCACAAAAAACAATTGAAAAAATAAACCGGAATATAACCAGATTTTGTTTAGATTTTTTTTTTGCAAAAAAAAAATAAAATATATGAAACGTTTTTTTATAACAAAATAAATTTCCTAACCTATCAAAGACTTCGACTTCTATGTCTACGAGGCTTTTGATCATCTCCAAATGGCTAGACATTTTCATCCGATTGCCGATGTTTGTTTCTCCGATATTTTTAAATGTTTGAGCGGTAATTTCGGAGGCGCTTTGATGTTGTTTTTGTTTAGATTCGCCTTTATTATTGGTTGTTCCTGACCATGATTGAATTATAGGGATTTTTATGACGCCGCTACTATGCGAATTAGGACTTTGAGATGATATTCGGTCGTTGTCGGGTGGATCCGCGATCCAATATCGATTAGGTCTCAACCAGGGTTTATTTGTAAGGATACTCTGATATGAGGCATCCTGGCCCTGAGACCAAGAATTATTTTTATTGCTATTTATATGGGAAAAACTTTCGGAGTAATAGGAACCGGTCCAGTATGATGGTAATGATACGATGGGATCTAAACATGAGTAAGTATTACTATTTTTCAATTAATCACTTATCAAATATTGTTATTTGTTAATGAGGTGTAATCCTTATTACTTATTCCTCTATCAGGAAAATCAATGACAGAAATGTCCCATAAAAAAACAAGATAAAAAAAATACCCTGGGGACAAAAATGAATCACGGGTGTAGAGAATTTCCGAAAGACACCGACAAAAATACCCGAAATTTAATGCCAATGAAGCAATTTTATTATTTTCCCCCATTCTAAGCTTTTAAATTTTCCTCAAATTCGTATATTTTTGTCCGGTCTCTTTTTACCAGTAAGTATTTTTGACCAGTATCATTTTTGTACGGGTACTTTTGTCCAGGACATTTCTACTCTTGATTCTAAGGAAATAGTTTGGTAAAGAACGAAGGTATAGAGCCAAGCCAATTGTATGTTTATTTTAAAACAAGTCCAGCCAGCCCTTAATTTTATTTATTATGACTGTACAACTTTCGGGGTAAGTTGGAAGGGAAGGATTCGCAAAATGGAATTTTTGGGAACTTTAAAAAAAAATACCATTAATTAATTCATTTCTCACCGTATGTATACAATTCTTCGAAAGCCCCAATAAGGGTTTCCTTTTTGAAATAAGTCAAACTGAGCGGCGTGAATACTATGAGTCCCAAAAAGAGGTAGGCTATGTAAGTCACGTTCAGCGAACGGCCCACACATTTAAACGACTTTTGCAAAAGTTTCTGCATCCTGATTCCGTGGGCATTATGACTCCGGCAACGAGACGAGAGACAATGAGGATCGTTGGAACTTGAATTTGCATTGTTAATAATTGAATGATGTTGATTAATGGAACTCTCGGAACCCCGTCGCGATTTTTCATGGTAATGTTCGACTTTTACGTTGATCTTTAAAGATAAATAGATTTTAATCAGTGGGAGACAGAGAAATTCAAACTCGCGCACCCCCTCCCCGCTACCTTATGGTACAAAATCTTACATTTTTGTAATTTGCAGTCAATCATTAGCGTTATTAAAATCTCGGAGTACCCTCTTTAGTCAAAATACATAATCAGTTTGGTATCCATTTTACAATTGAATTAATTTATGGACATAGGAAGGGGGAGGAGGGAGTTCAATGTCATTGACTCAGACGTGGCCATGTGATTTATTTATAAAAAATAAAAAAGTAGTTTTAATAATAATTAAAGAAAAATAATTTAAAATGTAAAATTTATAAATTAAATTGCAACAATAAAGTTATAAATTATCCCCATCTCTAAAATATTAAGCCTTATTGAGGGACGCAACTTCAAGATGTAGCATAATTTTAATCTGCTTATTCACAATAAAAATAAAAGTGATCCAAATATGGAATTTCCAGTTAAAAATCCGATCGATATATATGCAATTACTATATCGCTAAAAAAAAATTATGCTCCTCGAGGAACAATTAAAGAAAAATTTCTAGTTACGATCCCGGCATCATTCGTAGAAATAAAAATTGAAAATCTTGAAAACTTTCCTACCAAAAAAATTTTATCTATCATTTATTCGAATGGGTGGGGTCTGTCTGTATTTCATCATAATATCTATTTTTTAATTAGCATAATATAATATATTGTATACGATTTACCTTAAAAATTATGTTAATTTCATTTATGAATGATACAAGAATTTAAAAATTTATTTGGGTACATACCTAACAGGGCGTCTTTTTGGATTAACTCGAATAAATATTTCTGTCCTCTGCCCCCTCCCCCTTCATTTTAAATTTAACTTGTTTTGGTAATAACTTATAATCAACATTTTTTAAAGAATAAAATTATGTCCCAGTTTTGTTAAATGGCGACACTCCTGGAGCTTTAAAAATATCTGGAGCGCCATTTTTTACCAGAGTGGGAGCTAGCTTCTTTAATCTTATTGTATAAATTGTTTTTAAAAAAATATTTCCAGTTAATGAATTTGTTGAATACTTATAAAAAATAATATATATTTATTCAAATTTATGAAACTATTTAATTTTATTAAATGTTGAGCCGATATTAATTTATATTTTTTTATTCTCGAAAAACTCCAAGTATTTCTATACTCACTTCAAAATTAAATTATTTTGCAGATTTAAAGTTTTGCCAATATCTTATAGAATCACTTTTATGCGGCATTGATAAAAGGTTTATAATTTTATAAAAAATCTTTCCAGATAATGTTGATGATATTATCATTTTCATTGGTTTGCTATTAGCCATCCTACATTCAAGTTGAATTGAGAAATGGATAATAAGGGATCAAAATAATAGAGTATTAGCAAAATATAAAAATTAATTTTACATGAAAACGAATTCTCAACAAAAGATTTTTTTTAAAATAATTTTAACGATTTAAAATATTTTATAAAATACAATAACTTTTTCCCTCTAGTTCTCTTATTGAGCGCTTCTTCAGTATTAATAAACTGGTTTTAGGGCGAGAGGCGTGGTTGCCTGTCAGATTCAAATTTAGAAAATTTGCTACTACATATAAAAGTAAATAAAAAAAAAATTTTGATAATTGAAAATTTTTTTTTCGATTTAAAAAATATATAGATAAAATATTACAAAAATTAAAATCAAAGGTGCGGCTAAGAAATGGCGCTCTTTTTTTAATTTGAAGCGGAAGTACGCACCTTTTAAAAACTCAGTAGCGGAAGCAAGAGATAGATCTCTTTAAAAGGAGCGTTAACTCTGTTCTTAGATAACGATTTGGGCCTGGTAGCAAAAAAAAGCATCTGCTAAAATAAGACGGGAATTATTACAGATCAAATCTATGTATACGAGACTTACATCAATGACATGTAATAATACCTAGACATAGACTGAGATCATTTATTTAAATTCAAACTCAATACAAGTCAGTTGGTGACATGCCATTTTGGTTTATCATATAAGCAATTTATATTAAAATTCTTTTTTTAAAAAAAATTATAGGGGATTTGTCATTAATGAAAGATATATATGCTAGAAAAAATTTGATAGGAATAATTTCGTCTGCTTTTAAATTGAAGGAAAACGGGTATAATTTATTTTTAATCATGTTTTTAGCTTTAGGACAGACAATATATTTTTTAAAGAATTATGTAATTGGAAAATAATAATTACAAGAATTCTTTATGGATAATTACAAGAAAACGAGCCAATATGTCATTTCTAAATATTCCATTTTACTTTGTTTCATTTAATAAAGTTAATTAATATAAAATTAAACAATTAGGGAGGAATTTTTAGTTTCCTCCCTCTTTATTATTCTTATCAAGGAAAGAGGGTTATGCTGTAGTATTGTTAAATGCTCGATTTGAGCAGATTTTTGAAAACGAATAACTCAATATTTTACACATAATAATTTTAAGCAAACATGTACATTTTGCTCAAAGAACAAGGGTTTATGCATCTCTTAGCAAAATCTTGAGGCTTAGGCAATATTTTTCTAACTAAAATATTGAGTGAGCTGTCTTCCGAGCTATTTAACAACACTATTTTATTGGCTTCTTTGCAAAAATATCGAGAGTTTTCTTATCGGGACGGGTTGTAGGCCAAAGTGCCAAATGAAAGAATGATGAATTATATGAGAGGAACCAAAATGGCGTGTCATTGATTGAATTGTCAGTCTTGGTAATTATAATATCATAGCCCGAAATTATATTTAAATTAATTTTAAATAAAATTTTGTAGGAAAGAAAAAATGAGCACAACTACAAAAAAAATGAAAATAAATAAATCAGACGATTTTATAAAAAAGAACATGTTCGAAATCTAAAATTTATTTTTTTAACCTTTTTTGTGATCCTGGATAATTTGTCACATCTGTCCCAAATTGAGATATGGAATATATTGTCACAGTGTACTTGATTTTCCATGTGTCATAATCAATTCAAAATGTGATTTTTAAAAAAAAAAATCCAAGCGATAGCAAAGATCAAATATTAAATCCTAAAATCGTATGAAGAAGGCAGTCAATTCCAATGATAATATAATTTATAAATAAAAATTCGCAGATATATAGGTATTTCAAAAAGATAAGACGTCTTATTTTTTTACGTCATAATTTTTTTTATTCCTCCTCCAAATAACGGGAATATTTTTCGTAAATTTTCATCTTCAAAAATAAAATATATATAAAAATAAATGTTGAATTTATTAATTTATTATAATTTTTTAAAAAAAATAAATAAATAATTTATTATTTATTTTTAATTTGATAAAGAATGTTCACAGGAGGTCTTTTCTCTCTTTCTTTATCATTTTCCTTTTTTTTAATATTATTTATATATTTTTTATTTGTTAAAAAATTATAATTGCCACATTACGGTAGTAGTATTACTACGTATACGTAGTAGTAAATTAAATTATACAAAATAATATAAAATATGCTATAAAAAAAATAGAAGAGTTTTATATGAAAAAAATAGCAGTTTATAATATAAACTAAATTACCTCCAAATATGATAATCCATCCCAATGAGTCTTGATTGCTGGTGGTAAATAAGTATATATCATGATTTTATCTTCCATCTAATTATTAAAGTTGTATAATAATAGGAAGTAGAAATCTCCAAAGCAGGGCCCGCTTTTTATAAAATTATAACGACAAACTTGATTTTAGGTAAAATTTTAATGGATTAAAATTTAAGCTAATATTTTGATTTCTTTATACTTTTTTAAAATAAATCATTTCTATATTATGCGCAATACAGATAATCTTTAAATATTAACAAAAAATATTGTCAGTTATCTCAAGTGATAATGGAAAGTTAAAAAAACTGGGACACATTGGACCACATATTATGTAAGCCCATTACTCTATTTACATTGCACCAACAAAAATTGATTTTAAAAATATTTATATTAGCTGGTTTTAGATCCTTTTTTGTCCAGCCTTCTGCTGATTCACAAGATAGGGCTAATTTGACTCCCATTCTTATTCTTCTTAGCTGTTATTTTATGTTTCGGAATATTATAGTATATTATTAAATTGCTTTAATATAATCTGATTTTTTTTTTTCAGAGTTTGGAAATAATCTTCAAAATTTTTTTTTTAATGAATAAAGATTTTTGATCAAATTTTACTTTTCAAAATCTTATAAATATAATTTTCATTTATAAAAAAATTTTACAAGATAAAAATTTTTTGGTTACCTAAAATTTTTTTAAGTATTTAAAAACTTGCCTTATTAAATATCACTAAAAAAATGCGATTCGTTAAAAATATTTCAAAATTAAACCCTAAAAGAAACCTGGTTCTGGTCGATTTTTAAAAACGGCCCTATTAAAATTTTAGCCAAAATAATATTATGTAAGCTTCGAGATTTGGCAAATAGATGTCCAAACCTTTCAGCCATCTATGAGCAAAATCTTCAAGCTAATATAATGTTATTTTAATTATAGTCTTAATAGGGCCGGTTTTTGAAAATCGACCGGCTTTTTAAGCAACAACTACCCTTATAGATAGAAGACGTTATAGTTTTATATTATAAAGACTATATATTTTATTAAGTTTGTGGCAAAATTTTTGTGAATTAAAATTTGGTATAAATTCTATAAATGCTGAAAATACATTTCTGATCAAATGGGGAATTTTTAGATTTAAAAAAGTATCCCTTAGCGGATGATATAAAATTGAGAGATTCCGATTATTTAACATTTGTTATTGTTGTTGTGGTAAATTTTTGAGGGATATTTGTGGAAGATAATTCAATGATGTTGAAAAAATTGCGTGAGTATCCCGCTCATGGAAGAGGGCTTTGACAATTTTGTTCATAAGATTCAATCATCATTCTTTTGCAAAAATTACAAAAAAATACTTAGGGATATTTGTTATTATAGGTATATTAAAGTAAATACATAATTCTTGCTTGTCTCTCCGCAGACGTATTATCTAAATGGGTGAACACTACAGCTTCCCAAAAAAATTATTTTATCTATTTAAATTATTTTAAATCATTATCATTTTATTTAGGCTGTATTCAAAGTGGAGACGGATCCGTTTTTTACATCCGTTCCGTCAAAAGTCAATCTCATTAAAAATGGTATATATGTTCAGTTCATAGTGCGTCCGTTCCGATACCTTCCGTCTTAGAAACGGATCCGGCAAATTTTGAAGTCAAAACATTTTGACTTTTTGATCCGGCTAATTTTATAGAGCGTTATAACGTTACTTATAATTTTTTAAAAATAAAAATCAATATATATCATTTTTTATGAGATTGACGTTTGACGGAACGGATGTAAAAAACGGATCCGCCTTCACTTTGAATGCAGGCTTACATATATTATAGCACTAAAGAGACCGGAAATGAATCCTAAACCGCAATTTTAAAAGCGCACATGATGTATTTTATTTTATACCCCCCCCCCCCATTTATATATAGATTTAAATAAATAAATCTCCTCATACATAATCATAAATCAATTTATTTTTTGTTAAGAATTTTAGTTTGTGGTACTCATAATTATATTGATATGGTGTATGGTTAGTATGTAAAAAAAAGTGATAAAATAAATGAAATAATTTTGAGAAGGATTTTTTATAACCCGATCTTATATTTTTTTTCTTGCCATGGTGCCTCCTTCCTTGTGCAATATGTTTGCAATACATAGTTACACGGGGAATAAGTTAAGTAAGAAATTTTATAAATAAATATTTATTATAGAGCTATAAAAAAAAGATTAAAATAATATGATAAATTAATAAATAAATAAAATGATTAGGCCAGATGTTAAATCCTTTTTATCCATTTTATATTTTATATATTAATTTGGAGAGATTTGTGGAAAGTTTTTCTTTTCTTCTCAAGAGCCAAAAGGTGTTTCTTATTTTTTGAATTTGACAGGAATACTAACAAAAAATTTTGATACTTAATAGTATCTGCATTATGTAGTAGAGATAATTGAAGAAAAAAAATATTCCATAATTAGACCAAATACTAGACAAAAAGCACCGGCTAAGAATTAGTCAATATGTATCTTTCCAGTCAGAAAGGATAAAATTATTTGTTCGGCCCAATCTCGAAGGAATTTTTTATTATTTTTACTGAAATATGTATTATTTGTCTGCCCGGCCTTGTCCGACTTCCTTTAAATAAAAAATAATGATTATCAATTTTTTTTTACATCTACAAAGAATATTAACCCTTTATTTCTTGCAAAGATCCTTAATCCCGGCCCAGTCCAAATTTTTTTAAAATATTAGTCTTGACCTAACCAGAATCAAATTTTTTCGAAAATGTTTGATCCAGGCTTAGCCTACATCAGATATCTCTAGGGATACCTAATTTTAACAAAATTTGAATTCTTCACAAATTGAATGGTAGAAAACCCCCACGGAAATCTATTCCATGGAAAAAAATCCCAATTTTTTTTTACATGCATGATAATTTAAAAGATACAATTTACTTGGATAAATTATAAAACGAAATATTATTCAATTTATAAGATTGATTATCAGGATTTCAAACCCCTTAAATCTTTTAACAGAAATCGATTATAGATCTCGACAGTAGGGAAATTGCTTAAAAAATTAAAGAAAATTAATAATAATGAATAAGGACAAAAGCGAACCTGAAATTTTTCTAAAAATGGAATCCGTTCGGGTTAGCAAATGATTTTGAAAACAAGTTTGGTTTCTGGTTTAGATTCACAAACCATCTGATTTAATAGTTTAGGATTCGATTCGAAGTTTTTATTAATATAAATTCGAGAAACGTTTGAAATAAATTCATGGCTGGCGGCAAAAGGTAAAATAGCTCGGCTCGCTTATTAGAGAATAAAATAAAATTATTCTAAAACCTAGATAATATTTTTTATTTTGCTTTTACTTTAAATGATTAAATTATGACCTTCTACTATGATCATTCATTCGAATGATTTTCTTTTCCCTTAAATATCTACATTATTATTTAGGTTTTCGCTCATATTTTTTTTATTATAATCTTGAATTTTAATTTAATCTCAAACCATGATTAAATCAGAACATATTATGAAATGTATTAGGCTATTGATTTGATAGATCATAATCCATAAAGTATAATGTTCCCCAATATTATGTTTATTATGCTGTTCAACTACATAATTTCGGTTAAGTATATATTTTAAAAAAAATATCGGTATGGACCGAACTTGGATTTTAAAAAACCGGGTCGGGCATCCTTTAAGGATATACCCGTTGTTGCAGTTGGGGTGGTGCGGCGAATAATCAAAATATTAGCTAGATTTAGCTGGTCTGGAGTCCAAATTCTTCTCCCAGCATAGGAACGCTTATTTATTGTGAGAATACCTCTGCCAACCCATTCGACTTGGGGCTATATGAGGCTGAGGTGCGGCGAGTAATTAAAACATTGGCTAGATTTGGCTGGTCTGGAATCCAACTTCTTCTCCCCGCATAGTCGCATATTTATTGTGAGAATTCCTCAGCCAGCCCATTCGACTTGCTATATGAGGCTGACCTAAAATGTTTCATGTTGTTTTTAAAAAAAACAGTTTACTTCATATGCGTCATGACATCTTTTAATCTAACTTAAAATGTATATTATTTTGGCGCGGCAATTTTAATCGTGTCTTATATTTGCTAATCTTAATTTGGTTAAAGGCAGTCGGATTAGTAAAATTTCCAGAGGACTAAAATCGCATTGGCTTATGTGGGTGGTATAGTCCATAATTATTTATAATATTCGAAAAACATGTCCAGTATATTTTTATTTTCTATTTTAATAAAATCTACTGGCGATTTATAGCATTAATTTCTGATTATAATATATCATTTAAAAATTCACATTAATTTAAAATATTTACTGATAAAAATAACAAGTTTTGGGTTTTTTTCTTAAAATAATTTGAAATAGTGCAATATTAATTTGTATAAATCATTTATATATAGCTCTTATACACATATTATTCTTAAACATAACTTATCCAGTTCAGGGGCGGACTGGCCAATAAGCCTAGTGGAAAA